ATAGATATATAAAGAAATATTATTATGTACATCCTGAAATGCATAAGTTTATATCATTGATGAATAATTCCAGTAAAACACATATAGAAAGATTGTCCATATATATCCATAAAGCTTTTATTCTCCGGAAGAATGTTCTACTACCCGCACATGATTAAACAATGTACTACAGGCCTGTGGCCTTTCAGTATGAAATAAAGATTGAAGATTGACTACCCGTTACAGTAAGCTGATTGGGTCCTGTCTGTGTTGACAATCTCTTCTGTGTGTCTGACGTCTGGTCCTGTGTTACTCGTTACAGTAAGCTGATTGGGTCCTGTCTGTGTTGACAATCTCTTCTGTGTGTCTGACGTCTGGTCCTGTGTTACCCGTTATAGTAAGCTGATTGGGTCCTGTCTGTGTTGACAATCTCTTCTGTGTGTCTGACGTCTGGTCCTGTGTTACTCGTTACAGTAAGCTGATTGGGTCCTGTCTGTGTTGACAATCTCTTCTGTGTGTCTGACGTCTGGTCCTGTGTTACCCGTTACAGTAAGCTGATTGGGTCCAGTCTGTGTTGACAATCTCTTCTGTGTGTCTGACGTCTGGTCCTGTGTTACCCGTTACAGTAAGCTGATTGGGTCCTGTCTGTGTTGACAATCTCTTCTGTGTGTCTGACATCTGGTCCTTTCCTGTCTGTGTTGACAATCTCTTCTGTGTCTGACGTCTGGTCCTGTGTTACCCGTTATAGTAAGCTGATTGGGTCCTGTCTGTGTTGACAATCTCTTCTGTGTGTCTGACGTCTGGTCCTGTGTTACCCGTTACAGTAAGCTGATTGGGTCCTGTCTGTGTTGACAATCTCTTCTGTGTGTCTGACGTCTGGTCCTGTGTTACCCGTTACAGTAAGCTGATTGGGTCCTGTCTGTGTTGACAATCTCTTCTGTGTGTCTGACGTCTGGTCCTGTGTTACCCGTTATAGTAAGCTGATTGGGTCCTGTCTGTGTTGACAATCTCTTCTGTGTGTCTGACGTCTGGTCCTGTGTTACCCGTTACAGTAAGCTGATTGGGTCCTGTCTGTGTTGACAATCTCTTCTGTGTGTCTGACATCTGGTCCTTTCCTGTCTGTGTTGACAATCTCTTCTGTGTGTCTGACGCCTGGTCCTGTGTTACCCGCTATAGTAAGCTGATTGGGTCCTGTCTGTGTTGACAATCTCTTCTGTGTGTCTGACGCCTGGTCCTGTGTTACCCGTTACAGTAAGCTGATTGGGTCCTGTCTGTGTTGACAATCTCTTCTGTGTGTCTGACGCCTGGTCCTGTGTTACCCGCTACAGTAAGCTGATTGGGTCCTGTCTGTGTTGACAATCTCTTCTGTGTGTCTGACGCCTGGTCCTGTGTTACCCGTTATAGTAAGCTGATTGGGTCCTGTCTGTGTTGACAATCTCTTCTGTGTGTCTGACGCCTGGTCCTGTGTTACCCGTTACAGTAAGCTGATTGGGTCCTGTCTGTGTTGACAATCTCTTCTGTGTGTCTGACGCCTGGTCCTGTGTTACCCGCTACAGTAAGCTGATTGGGTCCTGTCTGTGTTGACAATCTCTTCTGTGTGTCTGACGTCTGGTCCTGTGTTACCCGTTACAGTAAGCTGATTGGGTCCTGTCTGTGTTGACAATCTCTTCTGTGTGTCTGACGTCTGGTCCTGTGTTACCCGTTACAGTAAGCTGATTGGGTCCTGTCTGTGTTGACAATCTCTTCTGTGTGTCTGACGTCTGGTCCTGTGTTACCCGTTACAGTAAGCTGATTGGGTCCTGTCTGTGTTGACAATCTCTTCTGTGTGTCTGACGTCTGGTCCTGTGTTACCGTTACAGTAAGCTGATTGGGTCCTGTCTGTGTTGACAATCTCTTCTGTGTGTCTGACGTCTGGTCCACCTGGCGGCTTGGCACTTCCAGTAACCATGGTAACATACCCTACAACTCCCTGCACTATATTTCAGATGGTGGCTGTGTATATTTTGAAACCCAGGGTTGGCCAAGGATCATCGCTCACTACCCAGTAGCCTTCATCATGATGTGGGCTGACAAACACAAGCTCGGGTCAAAGGTCAAACATATTATCTTTGTGAGGTGAGGTGAAATTGGGTTTAACATCGTGCTTGAGAATATTTCACTCATATGACGACGTGCATGCGTGTGTATGTGCATGTGCGGCTGCTTGTTTTAGCCCAGACTGAAGCTGGTTTTATAGTGCTAGCCCACTGAGATACCATGCCGCAGTGAAGCATGAATACCCCATTCAGACACATTATACTGACTCTGAGCCGACCAGTCCTTGTTGTACCCATTAATGCCGAGCGCCAGGCAGGGACCAACAAGTACCATATTTTAACCTCTTTTGGTATGACGCGGTCGGGGATCGAACCCGCGACCTTCCGCTCTCCAGGCGGACGCTCTAACCACTACACCACGGAGGCGGTTATTATCTTTGTGAACAAAATTGATGGTAACACTCTGCTTTTGCATGTTAAGACTGGCACGCTCCAGAATGCTCTTCAAGGAGAAAAGAAAATATGTGCTAAGATTCAGGACATTCTTAATGACAGGTATGGAGCTCTGCTCTAGCAATCAGACACAAATGTTTGACAAGCCAATCTTTGTAAGAGTGTTCTTTTCCCTGATGCCTTATTACAACACTAGAGCCTTGGACTGTAATGGATCTTCTTGTAACAGTCAATGGACTGTAACGGATCTTCTTGTAACAGTCAATGGACTGTAACGGATAATCTTGTAACAATCAATGGACTGTAACAGATAATCTTGTAACAATCAATGGACTGTAATGGATCATCTTGTAACAATCAATGCACTGTAACGGATAATCTTGTTACAATCAATGCACTGTAACGGATCATCTTGTAACAATCAATGGACTGTAACAGATCATATTGTAACAATCAATGGACTGTAATGGATCATCTTGTAACAATCAATGCACTGTAACGGATCATCTTGTAACAATCAATGGACTGTAATGGATCATCTTGTAACAATCAATGGACTGTAACGGATCATCTTGTAACAATCAATGCACTGTAATGGATCATCTTGTAACAATCAATGCACTGTAACGGATCATCTTGTAACAATCAATGGACTGGAACGGATCATCTTGTAACAATCAATGCACTGTAACGGATCATCTTGTAACAATCAATGCACTGTAACGGATCATCTTGTAACAATCAACAGCTCAATGATAATGCCACAGTTGAATCAATAGTAATATCTTACAGGCATTACTCAATATAGTATACATATCTGTATAGTACTGACTATGGAATGTAATATATTCATATGATATATCATGCTTAACCTGAATATATTGTAGTTATCCTGACCCAATTGATTGAGTGAGTGAGTAAATATTACCATATGTCAATCTGGCAATACCTATTTAATGTTGTAAGTATTTGCAGTGATGAGAATAACCTGACAGTGCATACCCAGTTTACCATTTATCAGTTTTCCTAATATATATATGTCACTTTGTTGTGATATGTAAAGACTGTAGAGGCATAAGAAAATTGTCTACACCTTGTCGGTCCCATCCATTTGCAAAATTTTAAACAAACAATGTTTCACATTATTATGCAAACATCTGACAACCTACTGATAATAACTATAGAAAATGAGCCACCAACTATTACACCACAAACATAGTATCTAGAATTACTTCCCTTGGACTGTTGTACACTGACTTGTCAACATGGCAGCAGATGAAGTACAGGCCACACATGACAAATGACATGTTCCACAACTATCAGTGACTACATAGGTCAAGGCAATTGACAAGGTTAGCATTGGGTATTTCTTGGTGACGGTATTTCAGAATGTCTCTTTGTCCTTCCACTTGTTTCATCCACTTTACCTTGTATATGGTCCATCAGTTTAAAAAGTCACCCCTCAAGTAGACACTAACTCAACTTTACTGCAGGAAATAAAATGCTAAGATAACCAAGAAGTTGAAATCAGAGTCTGCTGTGATGGATGCAGGCGCAAGATGGTACACACTGGAAATAGATCCATTCTGCTGGGATGTTCATTGTGAAAGCCAGACTCAATCATTCCAGTTTTTATCTGTATCACAGTTTTTTTTATTGTGAGTACTACTAAAGCCAAGCATGACTGATATCTCCACTCATAATGAGGATAAACATGGTTGATATTCCCCATGTTGGGTGACAGTCAACTGTTGTGGTGTCAACAGTCGACAGAAGACTAAACTCTGTATGAGGAATCAACAGGACTGCACCGTATTTCTTGTATAATAGTATACTACATTACACGCTCCAAACATGTATTGTAATCTTTCTTCAGTGTTACAATGTGTTGGGTAAAATAAACATAACAAGATTCGTTATTATTTGTATCGGTTAACTTTTCTGTGGTAAACCTTGGAAACTGATGACCAAAATGTAGAAATGATGAAGTGATTTTTCAATCATGTTGTTCTCTCCCCTCTATCCATGTCGACAAAATCACACAAACCAGTGATTGATATATTTTGAGGATGGATTATGTTGTCAGAACAAAATGACATTCAAACAAACAAACACTGACTGTGACCACCATTGAGTCATACAACATGCATCAGGCACTGGGGCAAAGTGCTACCCTGTCTCTTCATTAGGTTCAATGCATGGATGAGTACCCTATGTCTCTATATGAGTGAGGTTGTATTGCAGTACAATACATACTGAATATGTGAATAAATGTGTACACTGTTACTTCCTTGTTATGTCTGTATGTCTGGGGACATAGCTTTGATCCAAGAATAGCAAATTACATCAATCAGGACAATCCAATATCATTATTCTGTCTGATGTTTAAATATGCCAAAATGTGTGAATTTGGACTTCACTTGGAACATTTAGATGAACTTGTTGGCAATTATATTTTACTAGAAAACCTTTGCAAAACTACAAATCTAAGATCAAACTAAGTGTTGCTACTTGTCAACTGTGACCACCTACCTTATGGACAGATGACCCTAGACTGGCCAGCGTACTGAGACAGTCAACGTCCACCTTCCTACTGTACGTCTGACCACAGATCCGGAAGTGACTGAGAAGGACAAGGACACATATTTGTGTGCAGTACTGTATGCATACATTATCAGCATAAAATATTTCAAGGAATAAATCATTCTTTCATGTTGTTTTACCACTAACACTGCCAGTAACACTGTTACACCTTGTTACACCACAGACAGAAACAGTAACACATTGTTAAACCACTGACAGAGACACTGTTACACATTGTTAAACCACTGACACTGACAGAAATACTGTTACACATTGTTAAACCACTGACACTGACAGAAATACTGTTACACATTGTTAAACCACTAAAACTGACAGAAATACTGTTACACATTGTTAAACCACTGACACTGACAGAAATACTGTTACACATTGTTAAACCACTGACACTGACAGAAATACTGTTACACATTGATAAACCACTGACACTGACAGAAATACTGTTACACATTGTTAAACCACTGACACTGACAGAAATACTGTTACACCTTGTTAAACCACTGACACTGACAGAAATACTGTTACACATTGATAAACCACTGACACTGACAGAAATACTGTTACACATTGTTAAACCACTGACACTGACAGAAATACTGTTACACATTGTTAAACCACTGACACTGACAGAAATAACATTGATAAACCACTGACACTGACAGAAATACTGTTACACATTGATAAACCACTGACACTGACAGAAATACTGTTACACCTTGTTAAACCACTGACACTGACAGAAATACTGTTACACATTGTTAAACCACGGACACTGACAGAAATACTGTTACACATTGTTAAACCTCTGACACTGACAGAAATGCTGTTGACACTGTTACACATTGTTAAACCACTGACACTGACAGAAATACTGTTACACTTGTTAAACCACTGACACTGACAGAAATAAATACTGTTACACATTGTTAAACCACTGACACTGACAGAAATACTGTTACACATTGTTAAACCACTGACATCCACAGAAATACTGTTACACATTGTTAAATCACTGACACTGACAGAAATACTGTTACACATTGTTAAACCACTGACACTGACAGAAATACTGTTACACATTGTTAAACCACTGACATCCACAGAAATACTGTTACACATTGTTAAACCACTGACACTGACAGAAATACTGTTACACATTGTTAAACCACTGACACTGACAGAAATACTGTTACACATTGTTAAACCACTGACACTGACAGAAATACTGTTACACATTGATAAACCAGTGACACTGACAGAAATACTGTTACACATTGTTAAACCACTGACATCCACAGAAATACTGTTACACATTGTTAAACCACTGACACTGACAGAAATACTGTTACACATTGTTAAATCACTGACACTGACAGAAATACTGTTACACATTGTTAAACCACTGACATCCACAGAAATACTGTTACACATTGTTAAATCACTGACACTGACAGAAATACTGTTACACATTGTTAAATCACTGACACTGACAGAAATACTGTTACACATTGTTAAACCACTGACACTGACAGAAATACTGTTACACATTGTTAAACCACTGACATCCACAGAAATACTGTCACACATTGTGAAACCCACTGACATCCACAGAAATACTCACACATTGTGAAACCACCAAAACTGACGGAAATACTGTTACACATTGTTACACCACTAACTGACAGAAATACTGTTACACATTGTTACACCACTAACTGACAGAAATACTGTTACACATTGTTAAACCACTAAAACTGACAGAAATACTGTTACACATTGTTACACCACTAACTGACAGAAATACTGTTACACATTGTTACACCACTAACTGACAGAAATACTGTTACACATTGTTACACCACTAACTGACAGAAATACTGTTACACATTGTTACACCACTAACTGACAGAAATACTGTTACACATTGTTACACCACTGACAGAAATACTGTTACACCTTGTTACACCACTAACTGACAGAAATACTGTTACAAATTGTTAAACCATTAACACTGACATTACAGTGTTACATATTATTACCAATATTGTAATGAGGTTTGCTACCTGGTAAAGCCTGCTGCCTTCGTTACCAAGTCGTCAAGCTGAGTCACCTGTGAAATAGGTGAAATAGAATCATGATATGAAGCGAGTGTCTCTTTATAGCGAGTGTCTCCTTTCATTCTGTGTCTGCATTACATAAATGTGTACGCATGGAAAAATGAATAAGGGACAGAAATAACAATCATTAGATATGAAAATGTCAATTAATTTTTCAAAACAATTGAAATGTAATACTTCAAACTATTATGCAATAATCTGTATCTTTTAATTTTACAAAACATTTGGTTAGATTTATTTAATATTTTATGTTCAACAAAACTCAAAAATGACTGACAACTGATACTGTCATATACATAACTGTTTTCTAGGAGAGAAGACACTGGTTATCTCATACATACAAGGGAATAACAGTGTTTGTTGATGTGATGTTCCAACTCCACACTTCCCTACGTGACCACCTTTGGTAAACCCTGGAGGATGGACCAGATAAACCAGGGATGGACAGTATAAGCAACATCCAATCCCAGGGTAAAATGACGCTCAATCTAACGTATGTAATATTTGGGATTACACTTTCTTAAGTAAAGTACAGATTCTAGTACTTTTGTTTGAACCCACACCCTCAGTCAGGCACCCAATCGCCAGCACACAAAGCCAGCCGCCTAACCCCCTCAGCCAACGCAACTTCCACAAAACCTCTTTTGGTATGTCACAGCCAAAACCACTAGATTCCATCTTGCTAGTAGACATTCTATCCCCTACACCACAGAGTTGGTGTCAACTTGGGAGATTTTGCCTTTTCATGTTCTTTCTGTCAAATGGTGAGAGGTGTACATTGCTTATTCACCTGACATTCTCCCATATTTAACTCCACACCCCAGCTCACCATGTATTTGTCATCAAATCAGTTTACATGAATTGGATTAACATTTTACTCATTTGTTCACGTTTGGTTTCCATGTCTGCCTGAAGTTGATTTCAATGTTGGACATACAATGTACCTTAGTCTCATCTCCATCAAACAGAGCAAGAAAGCTGGCCTGTGTGCCCGTGGTGCCCTTGACCCCTCTGAATCGCAGGTCACCGAGTGCACGCTGCAGGTTGCGGAGGTCCATGAGTAAATCCTGTATCCAAAGACACGCCCGTTTCCCCACGGTTGTCAACTGTGCAGGTCTGGTGACAGGGACACAAAACATTACACAGCATCAAGGTTCTTGAAGGCTTTGACACGATATTATGGCAAGTGTATTCTGTCAACAGTAAAGCCTTCTTCCCAGCCCTCACTTAATATTATATATCACACAAAAACTAGTGTTGGGAATTGGTAAAAATCTCATAATTGATGATTGATTCATTACAACCGATCAATCATTGAAAATAATTGGTTAGCCATTTATGGAATTTGTTAATACACAAAAAAATACGGAAAAAAACATGTACCGGTAGTTCTTTGGGGTTTTTTTTGCAAAATTTCACATCTTTAAAGGATGACTAGTATGTTAGGAACATGGATTTCTTAGAGTTTTTAAGATAAATTCAATCATGACTTGGAACGAGCTTGTAGTGCTTATGAAATGTAACAGACAAAACCAACCTAGTGAAAATTACTGTTAATGAAAACAAGTGTTCCAGAATTGTTTGTGTTCGATTATGAGAAAACATGATCGATTGCTCGGTCGTTTAGTCACTACGACCAATCTTCGATTATTTCAATTAATCGGACCACCACTAACAAAAACAGAACTAACTCCCACATGTGTGATACTGTGTGTGGCCAAATGGTAGTAGTGCTGCTACTATGACATGTTCCAGCCATCATCATGATGTCACTGCTCATTGAAACCACACAAAAATAAATGTGAATATTTTCATGGATTTGTTTCATGTTTACATGGAACTGCACATTAACATGTATGTAGATATTTATGATGTTTTCTAACAAAGATGTTATCCCTAATTAGTTCAAAAGTCATAAGAAAGTTATTTACACTTAAACATACTCTAAAGAAAACAACAGAAGAATGGTTCTCAGTGTTCTATAAATAAACTGTATGGTTCGTAACAAGGGCGCCGGGTACAACAAAACTCACATTTACCCTTAACTCTGTCACACTAGGACAGTTATCTTTTAAGAATACCTCTCTTTGAGTTTGAATATTCTTAAAAAAGAGCACTGGACATCCTGCTTTTTACAGCTGGAGACATTGACGTTGATAGAAGTGAAAAAGATTGTGCAGAAAATACACCTAACCAAATATTACTTTTTAAACATACTGGATGACTTGTGTGCCATATGCAAATATACTTACTGTAGGTGTGTATAACCCAGGCATGGTAGAGCATTGTGTTCCCTGGCAAACTTGGACAGTCTCTCAATACATCGAGCAAGCTGACAACAAACAGGTTCATAGGAAGGACTAAAACTACTGACATAATTGTAGCAATCATACTTAATTATTTGTCAAGTTCATCTGCTTAATTTATGGTGTGCATGTTTTCATACTGTTTTTATCATATGAGAAATTCTTTCATAATAAACTTATTGAACAATAATATGTGTACATACCTTTGGGAGAAGGATTTCAAAACCATCCCTCATGACTATCAAATCCTGAAATAGCATACAAAACAGAACATGTTAAAAGATCCTATGTATTTCATCATGACCTTTTTCAAAATCAGGACAAAACACTGAACTCCTGTACTGTACATTATTACTTGTAAGATCTCTCCACTTGAAACAAGCACTGCAACACAAACAGTATCCATGGTAGTGTTCATTCCTTCATGCCCTACTTCCCAATATTCAATGTGACTGCTGTCAGTGAATAATTGAGTGTGGACCAGACAATCAAGAGACTGACATCATGAGCATCAATCTATACAATTGTGTACAATTGTCTCAGCTGTCAGGTTGCTGGAGCCAGATGACATGTATCAACAAGTCAGTGAGTCTGACCATCCAGTCTCAGCTGTCAGGTTGCTGGAGCCAGATGACATGTATCAACAAAGTCAGTGAGTCTGACCATCCAGTCTCAGCTGTCAGGTTGTTGGAGCCAGATGACATGTATCAACAAAGTCAGTGAGTCTGACCATCCAGTCTCAGCTGTCAGGTTGCTGGAGCCAGATGACGTCGACCATCGTGTATCAACCGTATAGACCATAGTTCTATAGAACACAGGTAAACAAAGGGTAAATATAATTGCTCACGGTATTGTCTCCCACGTAGGCTGAGGTTGCACCAAGGTGTATGATTGGAGCAGATTTAGGGCAGCAGGCAGCAAATGTGTGGACATGAGCCATGACGTCATGGCGAACTCGTTTCTCTTGCTCTGCAGCCATCTCAAAGTCAATATTCTCAAGGTTACTCCCCATTTCTGAAAGTTGCTCATCTGTGATGTTTAAACCAAGTTGCTTGAAAACAACAGAATTCAAAATAAAATCCCATGACATAACATAAATCTTAAATACTGAGAACAATTAGCATATAGATATGATCAGATAAAATTGATTTCCTAATATGGATCCCAGATTATTTAATTCAACTTTTGAAGGAATGCATGAGCTCCAGAATGAAGCACAAGTAACACGTACATGATGTCTCAGGCAGGTGACTTTGTTCAAACCTGCCTCTGTTCACCCAGCAGTCAATGGGTACCCGGCGGGATGACATGGTCATATGACTGTTAACTTTCTAGTGCCTTACAAGCAGCTTGGGTTGCACACTGATCCACTAACTCGGGTAATAATGTCAGCGCTTTGAGCATACACCTTGTGTGTGGATGTTAGCACAATATTTGTACACACATGATTATTATTAACCTAAATGAGACATAAATATATGGAGTTAATATATTGCAAATTATTGGAGTAAACTTGATTTTATTCGCCACGATGGCATATTTTGTCCTGCATAATTATATAAAAAATATGTACATTTACTAAACATTGATGCAATATTTCAAGCATCTGTCTAAAAATATAGAAATAAATACTCTTGCTACACAAAGTGGGATCTCTTTCAGTTTGTAACAGTGAAGCCCATGCATTTTAAGAGAATGTGACGAAGAATCTGGCTACTGTATCAAAACTACCATGCTTGAACATATAAATGACATTTTTCACTCCACTGCGACGCGTACTACTTTCCACTGCATTCTCGCTGGTGGATATATCGCTGCATGGAGTTTCACCGGTGACGGCACAATCAATCTTGAGCAAGTCTACATATCATAAACGTAAATGTGGTTATTTTTATATAACGACGGCTTGACTGTCTCTGCTGTTTGGTTTGAGCCAAATGTGTTTTTAAAATCACCAAATGCAGTTGTGATTCATCAAAACTGACGAGGTATTGCAGTGTAAATACTTCAACACCATTAATACTGAAAATGAGAATGAGCGGGATGTGGACGAGGATAGTGAATACTAAATTTACCTGTTCAGCTTTAGCTAACCACAACCACAGCTGTCTCCAAGTTGAAAATTTCTTTTTGTCACTGAAGTTATACACCATTTCCCGACTGGCATATCTTGACACAAGCGGGGTGTTGTACTTGAGATGAACATCGGAAACATGCTTACTGGTGGCCGCCATGTTTATTCTAGACTGCCAGTAAGTCTCTCATCCAACATTTGTCCGTCTTAACAAATTTCGTATGATCAAAATCGTGGAAACGTTATTTTCTTTGCCTGATAACTAAAATCTTTATCAAACAATCAGGTAAATATAACGTTACGTGGTTTTTATTGTAAGGTTTGAATGAACGAGCTGAGGTCACATTTCAGGCAACAGATGTGGGGTTTATCAATATAATATTCTGAGTAAATCAGTGTGTTAGGTTAGGGAGCATGCACATACATCTGTACCTGGAACAGAATATCCAAATGTAACCCCGGAATATGACCTGTCTGTCAGAATATCCTACGCTAAATTTGATAATTTGATATATGGTATTTATCGTCGAAAATATACATGTTTTCGGGTGTCATACATTGGCGAACGTAACCGTTTCCTCTAGCTAAGCTGTATAACGAGGGCCACACAGCACACATTGCAAATAATTATTATCGAACGATCTCTGTTTAAATGTAACTTTTATAAGTTAGTGAGATGTTTTGTGTTCGTTGGTTAAATTAGAAACATATGACAGCGAAGGTTTCTTCTGTGCCAGAAAACCCATAATTTTACGAGGATCGATAATTAAACTATGGGCCCCGACTGTGTTTCAGTGTGTATTAATAAGACGTTTAGAAAATCGCTTAGAACATCAAATACAAAACCATATACAAAACACTAATGAGTTCCATTTTTCGGACGCACATCATAATATTTAAAAATGACTACTTACATAAATATATATATATCCATTCAAATTGTTCTAATCGTGATTGAATCAATTAAAAATAATACAACCACGATGTTACTTAATTGGAGGCCCCATCGATCCTCTAAAGCAATAAGTTGGACAGTACGTAGGGTATTAGGACATCTATGCTTGGAACACTCAAGTAGGGCGCGAAAGGTCGCTGTTCGATTCCCGGCCGCGTCATACCAAAAGACGTAAAAAATGGTACTTGTTGTTCCCTGCCTGGCGCTCGGCATTAATGGGTAAAAAAGGGACTGGTCGGCTCAGTCAGTATAATGTGTCTGAGGGTTTTTTATTAACGCTTGACATAGACTTAAGGTGGTCTTAGCGCTAAGGTTGTTTTGTACGACACTCTAATCTTATCGCAACCTGCCCGTTTGACGATACTTGTCCCACAGTCGAAAAATTACACTTTAGGCTTTGCCAAACTTTCAGGCAGCGGAACTGTGAGTTGGAGGACATTCCACTCCTTGATTTATATTTAATGTGACCTGGTCAAACATTTCCTACACTAATGCAGAAGTTTAGGTCTTCATGCTTAACTGCGGCATGGTATCTCAGTGAACTAGCACTATAAAACCATAAGTTGGTCTGGTGTTTTGATTATGATCAGCGTTTCATTGAGTATTATATATATGTTTGTAACCTCTGCTTGAGTACGATACTCAGCTGAGCGCGATTTTGAGCATGAGCACGAATTTGAGCATGAAATTGAGTTGAGCACGAAATTTTTTTTATAACCTCGGGGCCAGGGCTGCCAGATTTTCCCAATTAGAAACTCCTCAATTAGAAAAATCGTGCATTTTTATACTTCAGAATTTAAGAAGACGAATGTCACGTCATAATGATTTGCCTGGAATGCCGATATGTAACAATGACATATTTACCCCATCAGACCCTGCTATGAAAGTTACTGATCCTAATATAACCATATGATCTCCTAATCAAGTTAGCTATGTTATTGTATCATTAAACAGGTAGAAAAGGAAAAATAAAAATATCTATTTCCAAATATAATTCTCTTCAAAAGTTTAGACTCAATGTTTAGGAAATTACAGAGTGCTGGCCATACCATACGGTTTATCCGATGACGTTGCAAGCATTCATTCACAATTCTGGCTCGATGTGGACGTGCGTTACCACCTTGAAACTCAGGACACTCTCCCATGGCCCTCATGAAAGGAACTACAAACTGCCTTGCACAACGACGAGATCGGTCTTGGAACGCATGGAGATCTCACCCCAGACCATTACGGAACCCCCTCCGAATCGGTCATGCTCCACAACGGCAACGTCATTAAACCTTTCACCTTGACGTCGGTAGACAGGATTATACGGCCATCATTAACATGCAAGTTGAAGCGAGATTCATTGCTGAAGAGAACTTTCGACCATCTGCGATCACTTGCAAAAGCCAAACGGTTCTGTCTGTGATGAGGCTTGAGAGGAGGTCTGACGGCAGGACGTCATGCTCTGATGCCGTGTGACAGCAGGCGACGGCGTACAGTGGACAGTGAAAAGCGGGTCCCTATTGCACTGTGTAGTCTGTCTCTGAGGACTCTAGCTGTCGTGTGCCTTTCCCGGAGAGCTGTTAAACGGTATCGATCGTCCAGTCTTGTTTTAACTTTTGGCGACCGGATCGGGGCCTATCCTCCACGGAGTTGGTTTGTTGATAACAGATCCACAGGTCTGAAATGGCTTTCTGTGAAACCCCAAGTCGTCCGGCCACGTATCGCTGTGATCTGCCATCCTGAAGTAAAGCAATTCCATGGTGACGTTGGTCTTGGCTTAACGACCCATGGTGTTATTGGTCAGGCTGTTTTGTGGCTACCGACCGAGTTAAGTGGCTATGTCAGTGACCGAGATTTCTATACATTTCTACCGATCGGATGCTGGGATGCCTTGCACATGCATGACATGTTGCCACTAGCAAAAAAAAATTCACGGAAAAATGTATCCCTGGCGAAAGTTTTCGGGAAACATTAATTGCATATTGCCATTTTAAGTGTGGGTTATTTGATGGGGAGTCGCAAATATACTTTTGCTAACCCAATTACCCGACAGCTAAGGTCCCTTTCCAACATGTGAAATCACCTGAAGAAGGGGCAAGAAGTAGCCCAGAAACGTGATATACAATAAACAAGAAGTTGCCATCCATATACTCGTCTTATATATTCACCAACTTCTAAATGCCTCTCAAGAATCTCATGTGAAATCACTATTTGTACGTATATTGATCAAATGTGTATATTGGAGACACTTATTCTCTAACACACTGAGTCTAAACTTTTGAAGAGAAGTATATATTGTATGTCATTTTTCACCTTGTTGGGATTTTGCACGCACTGTGCTGACATTTTGTCCCTTGGGATTTTGTCTAGGTGGGATCTTGTCCTACCCTCCTCACCGAACCCTAACAGCCTTAATTCGTTCAGAATATCAATCACTGGATTGTCTGGTGCAGACTCGATTACATCCAGGACGCCATCCGAGTATTGTGGGAATATTGCCGAGTACGTTAAACAAGAAACCCAACAAATATCAGCGAGTAATGTTAAATCATAGGTGTGACGCTGTTCAAGACAGAAATTATCGAAACCGCTGCATAGAGTTGCGTCCCTTCGCTGTGTACGCTGGGAATTGGTGATAGAGGGTTCGAATCCAATAGTTTCCCTCTATTTATATCATAGCAACACATACATGAAAAACAACGGCGATCTGAACAGGGTTCGTTATGTATGTCGGACAGCGTAATATAGACAATTCCAGGAAGATATCATAATCCCAATAGTTGCCGATCCTATTTAGCCTAAACTGCATGCCCTGCGGTTCTTTCAGCAGAGAATGGTTGATAAATATTTCTAGATAATACTCAGTCTCAGAAATACACTGTCCTATTATATCTTTAAATTGTAAATATATGGGTTGGAGCTCAGTTTAGTCGGGTGTTATTATCAACGACAAGTTCATCCAATCCTGCTTTGATTTTTTACAACCGGCCTTTATATATAGTTGGAATATTGCCAAGTCTAGTGTTAAATAAAAAAAAAAACTAATCAGCTCTGAAAACCGATCAGCTTTTGTTTACCGAAAAAAAGGTGGGGTTGCCTAGTGTTTAAAGTGTACACGCGTAACGACCGGGTTACCTGTCTGGTGGGCGACTGGTTAAGGTCATTGCGTGTCACCGTGCCCTGACCGGCTTGTCTTGTAAGAGTTGGTCACTCAAATCCGTAATATACATGCAGATGGAATAAAGCCTACTACAACATTACCAACCAACAGTTGTGAAGCCAACCTAACCATAACAGTCGTCCATAACTACCCACTGTTCTTCATTATAGCACTGTTCATATTAATATGCCATGCATAGCTCGTATGTGTAGTGTATCAATATGGATCTGCCTCATTATTACAAAGGCGAAAAGAGTTTACAAGATCAATTGTGTCCTACCATTACTTAAACCACATTAGTTCTGGGTATAATAACAGAATTACCAATCAAGGACTAAGGGCTTGCTGACATGGGATTGTATCCAGCTGACCACAGAATGATGTGTATGTTGTGTAATCATCCATTACAGTGTCCAATATTGTGTTTCTCCCAACCACGACATCATGTTATTTCTGTCCTGTAGTTATGTAAGTTTTTGTGTTTTCTGATGGTACATGTGTCTGTAATCACTGTTTCAGCTGAGCCATGGGAGCCTGTAAATCCTGGCAGTTGGCATCTTGGGGAAAATATTGCAATGATGCAAACTCTCCCTGTTTTTTCAACCTACCTGGACTGTTCAGCATAGATTACAATCTTGTTCATTGGTCTGTGATCATTGTTTGATTGTACAATATTATTACGGACATTTGACCATCTTCTAGGGTCAGTCTACCCCCACTTTGCCTGGATGAGTGAAACAAGCAGTCCAGGGTTTAGAGTCCACACAGCAATCTCCAGAAACATTGTCAAGTTTAGTGGGCTGAGAGTGCAGCTCACCTAGCTGACCAGCAACAGTTGTCGTTAGCTATGCAACATGATACACACTATACATTCAGAGTTTAAACGGTACCAAAGTTATGTTATGTTCCCAACACTTAAATTTAGGAAGAATGCAAAAACCGCACAGGAATAATTCAGTTCACATTTTTTGTTTTAATTGCAAAAATAATTAATGTACAAAATATATATTGCCACATCCCTTATATTCACAAGCATAATGTCTAGAAGAAATTCTTTATGACAGTTGTCACTGCCTTAGCCCACATGGGCACATGTCCGTCTTTCCGCTTGAAGAGTTCTGAGGTGACTAGGTTCGAGGATTGGTACAGTCTGACATGCTCCTGAAAGTACAATTGAAATATGATTATGCCATGATGGTTATCCCAGGGTCCTGTCAACAACACTCATGTCACAAATGAGGCAAACAATAGGTGGGACCCCGGAGGATGTACAGCACAACAAAACTTAACTCATGAGCATTTCCATGATTTGTTCCTGCCTCTCACGGACTGAAACAAATGTTACATGATGCAAGAGACTTTGAATAAAATATGCCTCTGTTCACTCAGCAGTGAATGGGTACCTGGAAGGATGAGATGACTATGTGACTGTAAACCTTCCAGTGCTGCACAGGCAACTTGTATACACCCCAGAATTATTGTAAGCATGCTTCACTGAGTTGCAATATGAGCACGACCTACCACATAATCAGGCAACAACCTATGATTATAGTGAGTGAGTGAGTGAGTTTGGTTTTACGACGCTTTTAGCAATATTCCAGCAATACCATGGCAGGGGAGGTGGGGGACACCAGAAATGGGCTTCACACATTGTGCCCATGTGGGGAATCGAACCCAGGTCATCAGCGTGACCAGCGAATGCAATAACCACTACTAGGCTACCCCACCACCCCTACCTATGATTATAAATTGTCAGATCAGATTCTTTGAACTCTAGCAAACAACTTGTTTAATAATGATGTTTATTCACAAATACCCACAAGTAACATTTCAGATTTTGCAGAGCAAATTAACTCATGTTATACAAGCATTTTCAATAAAGTCTTTGTGTACTGTTGAATCACTTGAATGCAAGCCTGGCTGATCAACTGAATGTAACTAGGTCCCAGTACTTGGATACTACAATTGGCTGACGGTATGTTTAGAGTTGGTAGGTTGCCAAGTGAATGCCTGCTCCACTTCATTTATTGTAACAGGAGTGGTAGAAGTCTGTATCACATTATCAGTAGAGTCAAACATGATAGACTGAATTACCTCTACCTAGAAGGATTAACTACCTGTACATAGAGTTCCATTCACTGTATCGTTTGATATTGATTGTACTAGCTACAGTCAACAGAAGTTGAAAACCCCAAGACTTTCTAAAACCACTCAGGTCTTCAGTCTTCCAACATTTTCAGCATGTAAACACTAATAACAGTAATAACCAGCGTCTTTATTACAACTCAACTTAAGCTTTATCAATAAGAAAGACAGCCTAGATGATAAATGAAATTTTCTGTACAAGGTTAGTACACTGATATTAACAAATGTTGAATTGATTAATTTACATGGGCAGAACTGTACTGATGTTCATCTTTTATTCTAACAATTAATTGAAAGCAGAACCAGTTTCCACATATGTTTTGTATGTGAATGCCCTTATACCACAAGCACTAACCTCCCGCAGTTGTTCCCTCAAGCGTGTGTTCTCAGTTACGACAGCCAGCTGACACTCCAGGTCTCGATACACTGACCTGTACCCTGGGGGACAAGGAAAGACAGACACAACATGTACTGTGGTGGACAGCTCTTGTAACCTGAATGAACTTCAGTCAGACGGTGGACAGGAACATATGATTGTTCAGATTGTTAAATCCTTAACACTTTGTGATTGGCATATATGACTTAAACATGGACATAATATGTGAGTCCATAGGTCATCAAGACTAAGTTGAGCCATATATTTTTCTGTGAAAGTTTGGTATACTTTGTCTTAATGTTGTTCAAAAAGTTAACAGCATAATTTATGTCTGTAATTGTAAGAGAATATGACATCAGATCAACATTTCAAACAACACGGTTTGGCTCTACAGATTACGCTGGTGACTGGTATATTTGTAAAAGAAGGCAGCTGGGCAGTCAGTGTCTCACAAACCATGTGATATGTTCAAGAAGAGTACAGACTCTTTGTGATGAAGTAGCTTACCGAAGTTTGGAGAGCCTATAAAGGTAAGGCTTGGGAGGCTCTCTCCAGGAAGGTAATACCACAAGCCTTTCACATGGAAGGTCCACTTGTCTCGGAAGTACTCAAACATCTGTATTCTCTGTGTCTGACCATACCACACCAAGCTCTTAAAGAACAGGTTAGCAATGTGCACATAAGCTGTTGGTATAGATCCAGCAATTCCCTTGGCTCCGAAGAAACCATTCACCTTTGAGGGAGTAATAAACTTGGCATCAGCACAAAGGGTTGGAAATATGAGCAAATATGTCAGTCTATGCACTGACTGAGTATATGAAAACAATATTTATTACTCACCCACTGAAGATATCACTGTTTAATAATTTTACAATGTTATTACACATTGTGTAATAACATCACGTGATGACGTACGTATGACGTAAAACTGATTTACAGTTATGACGTCACAATGCTAATACCTCACAATAGTATTGGACCTCTCTTGACTCACAGAAAGCTGAGAGTCATCACGCTTGTTGAATTCTAAGGAAAGAAGTACTTTGCTCGATATTATTTTGCTAATGTTGGGTGAGTAATAAATAAAATACTAAACAAGCAATACCATATTTATGAAACTCGTGAATGGTATTGGTATTACACGGGACATTGTTTAGTATTCTCTATATATGTAACATACGAGGCATGGCAAAGGTTCAAAGGTGTTCATGGATTGATGTTCTAAAACAAACTTATCAATACTTTTTTTTCATTCATTTGAAAACATTAAAAGATAACATACTTCTGGAGATGCCATTAGAATGCCATACTTGGCATGCGACTCCTGGAGAATTACATTCATGTAGTGATCGGTCAGGTTGAAGTAGCCAGAGGCGAGGAGTATCTCATCCCCTGGAGCTGCTGATCGGAACAAGTTCAATGTGATGTTCTCATCATGTGTGATCCCTAATGGCCCCATCTGTATCAGTGGGTACACCAGTGTGTCATAGCCAGACGTACTATCTCCATCTTCTTCACAATGTGTGCTATCATTCTCAGCCTCCATATTCCATGAATCTTCCATTGATGAAGTGAGCAGGTTTTGAATTTGTTTCCTGGCTTTCCTCTTAAATCGACTTCCATCATCTTTATCTAAAATTTAATCACAGGCATGATTCAAGGCAAGACAAACACAAAGCACAACAAGTTAATTTCTGTAATTAGGTCTGACTGACAGTGCCTTGTGGTACAGATTTTCTACAGCAATATTTACATATTTCTAGAAGAGGGAAAGGGAACAGATATTTCTCACAGTTGACTAAAGTCAAAAATATAAAAGTGATCACAGAATGTGGCACAGTTACTGACCAAACATACATGATGAACAGCTGTTGATTTTTTCCTCTAAAAAGTGTTGGAATATAGTTTACGCTGTTATTTCATTTTCATTAACACTTTACAGACCCATCACAGCTATGATAAGGAAAAGAGAAACTGACAGTTACCCATCAAACTGTCCATAATCTACTGTCATCATCATCATGCTAACTGCATACATGACTCACCATCAAACTGTCCATAATCTACTGTCATCATCATCATGCTAACTGCATACATGACTCACCATCAAACTGCTAACATGCATGTCCATCAATCCATAATCTACTGTCATCATCATCATGCTAACTGCATACATGACTCACCATCAAACTGTCCATAATCTACTGTCATCATCATCATGCTAACTGCATACATGACTCACCATCAAACTGTCCATAATCTACTGTCATCATCATCATGCTAACTGCATACATGACTCACCATCAAACAGTCCATAATCTACTGTCATCATCATCATGCTAACTGCATACATGACTCACCATCAAACTGTCCATAATCTACTGTCATCATCATCATGCTAACTGCATACATGACTCACCATCAAACTGTCCATAATCTACTGTCATCATCATCATGCTAACTGCATACATGACTCACCATCAAACAGTCCATAATCTACTGTCATCATCATCATGCTAACTGCATACATGACTCACCATCAAACTGTCCATAATCTACTGTCATCATCATCATGCTAACTGCATACATGACTCACCATCAAACTGTCCATAATCTACTGTCATCATCATCATCATCAACATGCTATACATGACTCACCATCATGTCCATAATCTACTGTCATCATCATGCTAACTGCATACATGACTCACATCATCATAAACTGTCATCATCATCATGCTAACTGCATACATGACTCACCATCAAACAGTCCATAATCTCATCATCATCATGCTAACTGCATACATGACTCACCATCAAACTGTCCATAATCATGACTCACCATCAAACAGTCATCATCATGTCATCATCATCATGCTAACTGCATACATGACTCATGACTCACCATCAAACTGTCCATAATCTAACTGTCATCATCATCATGCTAACTGCATGCATGACTCATCACCATCAAACAGTCCATAATCTACTGCTGTCATCATCATCATGCTAACTGTCATATCATGATCATCATGCTAACTGCCATCATCTACTGTCATCAATGTCCAACTACTGTCATCATCATCATGCTAACTGACATGACTCACCATCAAACTGTCCATAATCTACTGTCATCATCATCATGCTAACTGCATACATGACTCACCATCAAACTGTCAGTCCATAATCTACTGTCATCATCATCATGCTAACTGCATACATGACTCACCACCATCACTGTCATCATGCTAACTGCATACATGATCACCATCAAACTGTCCATCATCTACTGTCAAACATCATCATCATGCTAACTGCATACATGACTCACCATCAAACTGTCCATAATCTACTGTCATCATCATCATGCTAACTGCATACATGACTCACCATCAAACAGTCCATAATCTACTGTAATCATCATCATGCTAACTGCATACATGACTCACCATCAAACAGTCCATAATCTACTGTAATCATCATCATGCTAACTGCATACATGACTCACCATCAAACAGTCCATGCATACATCACCATCAAACAGTCCATAATCTAATCATCATCATGCTAACTGCATACATGACTCACCATCAAACAGTCCATAATCATCATCATCATGCTCTGCATACATGACTCACCACTGCATACAGTCCATAATCATGTCATCATCATCATGCATACATGACTCACCATCAAACTGTCCATAATCTACTGTCATCATCATCATGCTAACTGCATACATGACTCACCATCAAACTGTCCATAATCTACTGTAATCATCATCATGCTAACTGCATACATGACTCACCATCACACAGTCCATAATCTACTGTCATCATCATCATGCTAACTGCATACATGACTCACCATCAAACAGTCCATAATCTACTGTCATCATCATCATGCTAACTGCATACATGACTCACCATCAAACTGACGCAAGGTGTAATTCTGTAGATACATGTGTCTCACCTTTAAATGGGTGTATAGATTCCTCATCAGCAAGAGCTAGAGTGTTGTCATGCTTCATCTTGAAGGAGAGGTTGCCTACTGTTTTCACCAGATTGTCAAAGAAGTCTGCCAGAGACTTACTGTCATTGAATAGCACATATCTATCTTGTCTATTGGTGAAGTAGTTGTCACTCAGATTTGCCCTGTAATTAGATGTATGTTCTCCGATATCACAGGAACAGGAACGAATACCAATTAGTGCTCTGACTGTTTATCCAAGTCAGATACCAAAAGAGGAGTATTCAGACACAAGCCAAAAACAAAATACTGAAGACAGGACACACAAACAGGTGACCTAAAGAATTAGCAATGATCCAGAGGCACGATGACACACAATCAGTCAAGTCTCAGGGGCACGATGACACACAATCAGTCAAGTCTCAGGGCCATGATGACACACAATCAGTCAAGTCTCAGGGCCATGGTGACATACAATCAGTCAAGTCTCAGGGGCATGATGACACACAATCAGTCAAGTCTCAGGGGCATGATGACACACAATCAGTCAAGTCTCAGGGGCATGATGACATACAATCATTCAAGTCACAGGGGCATGATGACACACAATCAGTCAAGTCTCAGGGGCATGATGGCACACAATCAGTCAAGTCTCAGGGGCATGATGACATACAATCAGTCATCTCAGGGCCATGATGACACACAATCAGTCAAGTCTCAGGGGCACGATGACACACAATAAGTCTCAGGTTTGGTACATGAATTCAGATAAATTGTGTTTTACAACCAAATAGTAATCATGGTAACAGACACACTTGACTGAATGGTTTGCGATATCACATGTATATGTTATTTGTTTTAAGTCAGTTGAACGTTATATATACCAGTAAGCCTCAAATGGACTTTAAACATGACAGTACTAACCATGTGCACTACCATGTGACCTTAATACATACCCACTAATGATAACACTGTCATCGAACAGGTACACTTTTAGGTGGGTCAGTCCAATAGTTTCGTTGAATCTTTCAGGCACAACTCGTTTCAACAAACCCCTCAGATCTGGAGTATGGTATAATGATACATCAACAGTAGAAGGGAAGTCTTTAAGAAGAGACTGTAACATAGTCCTTGAACTGACAGTCGTCCCTCTGGATCCCCGGGTGTAGTCCAACAGTATGTTCACCTTCATTGCAGAATTTCCAACTTTCCTGGCATTTTCACATGCTTCTCTGATACAAGCCACCTAGAAATAGTTCCAGCTCTTACTGACATCTGTACACTACTACATGCCAATGTAATATATATATGTTAATATACATGATAAAACAACTACATAAAGTACGTCATATTACTGTAGTTAGTAAGCTGGTTTAACACTTCTCTGAACAGTATTCCAGTCATATCACAGCACGTCGGCTTGATGTGGGACGTGAGCCTAAGTGATGAAAGTTTCAGAGATTACCCCTTTGGTGAAACTGACAAACATGGGTATGTTGCTGATAAACCAGAAAACATAACTGGGGCAAAATAGGATTGTAAACCAGGTTTCTGGCATGCCTGAGGGACGCAACTCTGCACTGCGAATTGCCCCTCCTTAGACAAATTGACCATCCCTGCCTGCCCAAATTAACATAGATAATCTGGCCATGTTATAACAAAGAAGGGTGTGAAACAAAATGTAATATCACCAACAAAACAAAATGTCCAGTGATTCTGGTATTGAAGGTTTAGGCATGACTGTGTGTTATTCATATAACAACATTCAACATGTTCCTGGAGACATTAAACACATTACAGTGTCAAAATGACATGTGGACAGACTTACATCGGATTCATTCTGGCATCGAGGTGAATTTAAACTTACCTATTAAAATTTGAATTAAAAATGTAGCAGGCACAGAACAAGCGCTACATTTTGAACTTCAATGGCTGATGCTTATTAGAGATGTGCGGTAGTGAAAAAAACAAACAATCCAGTTGTGTGGGCCTAGGTTTATTTCACACCTGGTGATGCTGCTGAATCAAAATGCAATCCAAAGATATGTGGAAGAAAATCAACAAGAAATGTGACTGACCACAAACCTTCTATTGTGTCAAGTATACAGCTAGCTGACTACCCAAGCTGGCTACCCAAGCTGGCTCTAAAGACAAAAGGGCTGAAGTGGTGAAGGGCTTAGGTTATTGTGTTGGGCGGTGAACATGTGGTAAGCATGCTCAGTGAACTGGCTGTGAATTCAGTAAAACTGAGTGATACTTCGTTAAAGGCAGGCTGAGTAATATGATAATATAAAATGACTAAAACTGAGCAATGAAATTTGAATTATTTATTTACATGAGTTCTAATTGATACACAAACTGCAAAAATATACAAAATCTGTCACGGTAAAAAAAAAGTACCTAAATTACAGACTGGCCAGCAATTCTCAGATGTGTAAGGTGCATTAACACATATCATACCCCCTTATCTGGATGCAAGTTAACAGTATAAATAATAATACACCAAACTATACCATATTTATCCAAATTATGTCTCAATACTTGAAAGCTACTCACAAGATCATGTTCTAGCTGGCCCGTACCAAGATAGAGGGATGCAATTGTTATTCTGCTTGTGGCCTTCCTTGCTTTGATCTAAAATAAAAAAAGAAACAAACCCAACACAATTTGCAATTACTTTATGGAACAGGCAAGTAGTGACATAAGTGAATGTTGTATGGCAGTTATGAACCTTATGTAAAGCCATGGTAACTGCAAATACTTGTTTCTAGACTAGTGAACTAGTGTTTGATAGACTGAGCAACAGTCAACAATACCAGGGTACTTGTACTTGTAGGTTCTGAGGTAAGGTAGTTAAGACCTCTGCCGCCTGGAATACAACAGTATAGATATCCTCCTTCTTTACATTCACCATTATCCATGGATCCAGTTTCATTGATGGGGAAAATAAGAATCTATGGTATCCAGAACTTTGTCATGAACATCCTGAAGGTGTAAAAATAGCCCTTAACACAATAAGCCAATAAACCAAGGAAAGTTACATATTAGGCTGAACTACATGTTTCAGAATCGATAACAATCTGTGGACACATCTCTAATATAGATTAAAACAAATTTAACATCCATTATGCATGGTTTTACCTTGACTCACAAACATGGGGGACCCACAATTATTAGTTCAAGGGTCCTTGATGACAACATGAAGGTACTGTGAAGTAACAGACTAGAGAAATGTATGTTTTGATCATTTCTTTAGAGTCTGGAATGAATCATCAATCAGGTGGACTGATGGATGAAATGATGCATGTTACTGCTCTGAAGGAAACAACCAAATAGAAAGAAACAAAAGTCATAGATGTGTATTGGGTACAAAATGAATAATACTGAGCAACCCTCTGGACACAGTGAACTGTTTTTCAGTGTTCATTCTCTAAATTCGTGCATACTGTCTGGATGCACATATACGCGTCGCGTAAAACCCTGCATTATGGTCTTGCCAAGGGAATAAAGTATGCCACACAATGACTTGCTGTTTTTGTTAACATTTATTGAATAATAATCACACAAAGTAAAGTAACAAGGCAGTAATAAGGCTCTTTTTACAGAAACTACTCACACAGGAAACACAGCTTATCCCCGTCGTATGGTGGTACGATTGTAACAGTTAATACTCCCTGTTGGTTTCACATTAGTTTCTTTTGGTGGGAATAATACTTCTAACTAAATGACACTAATGCAGTCATAATCATGATCGTTTTTGCGATATATCCGACCTCCAAAAAACACAAATAGCACAAGATTTACCTTCAGAACTTCATAGAACTGTGTTGGTTCAGTGATAACCAAGACCTGATCGCCCTTCACTCTATAACAAGGGGTGAACTTGCCTATCCACCCAAAATAGTCAAATACACATGTTCTTGTGGCACAGTGTCTGTGAGATGCTCGTGCTGTATGCTGTAAAGGATCACTGACTCCTGTATGGCTATTGTTGCACTGATATGTTGCGTACCTGAATGAAAACATGTTATGAATTTGATTTCCTAATAAATGAAAATACATATGGATATCTAAGAAAAGAAAAGAAAGCGTTTAACATTTGATTTCCTATGAAAATACATATGAATACTGTATCTTAAAAAGAAGACCATGAAACATTTAATATTTGATTTCCTAACAAATGAAAATACATATGAATTATGTGTCTTAAAATAGAAAGCCATGAAATATTTTAGAACAGGGACTCTTCATAATGCTCCATTTTAAACAGAATATTCATGCATCAAAAGAAAACAATAGCAATGAAGATTTATCCTAGGTTCATAGTGTGGCCATCAGCAGTTTAACATGAATAACCTACTCAAGCACACCTTCTGACTCTGAGATGATTGGTGCTTGTTTTATTCCCTATTTGCTGAGAGACAGGTAGGCTAAGAACAAGCATTATCTTCTAAAATATTTTGGTATGATGCTCATCAATTATTGAACCACTGACCCTCCGGGCAGAGGCTTTATCCACCAGACCATGGACACTGTTTACTTCATTGTAGCCCAGGATATGTAGGACATGTTATTTGAAAATGATACTGCTATGTTTTGCACATTCAGCAGAATTGGAGAAACAGATTGAAACTTTCACTGCTAAAACCCTTAATATATAAGCACACATTAATGATGTTAAGATAAGCAGTGGAGCTGGTTCATATATATATTTCCTTATCCCTATGTAAATATAATGTTAAAACATAGACACATTTTTCTCAATGGCAACAAACATCAGCATGCTCAGAAAAATTTACTTTCAAAATACTTTCGCACAATAATGTCTTGGCGTTGTATGTAGTTTATTGGCATATTTCATATTTGCTATCATATAAATGTTGTCTTTTTTCAAGTCACTTGTCAATTATGATATTGTACTTGAACAAAAGTTTTAAATTTTTTTATAGCATAGATGTTATAGTCTACCTATATCAAAAGCACTGAAAACATAATAACTGTCCAGGTTACAAAAATGTCCAAAACCAATGCACATAAATAATGTGCATGCATGGAGAAACCTCAATGAAACATTTCTTCAACACCTGTGTACCTTGAGGTGTAGGGGTGAGGTCAAGGTGAGTTGTGAAATCAAAGCTGGTCGGGTACTACTCAGCTTTAGTAATTTGACTTCTGGTTGATATCAATATAAAACTGTGATTCATGCTACTGAAGTTTTAGCCCAAGTTTTATATTGATTTTTACAAGGGTCTAAGCAAGATCAATTTAATCGCTGGTTGGTGAAGGTGAAAACATGTAGAATAAAACAAAAATAATGGAGTAAAGTCGTTTGCTATATCCCATGACGATTTTTACACGGCGATAGAGACATATTTCACAGCCAGACGAGGTGACAACTCAATGTAAAAACAGCAACTGTTCATCCATTAGGCCAGGGTACTTTAGTGTAAATTGTCTTGACAAATCCCCATGAATATATTCAATATTGTCGTGTTTGAGACTGAATAGGAGGTCAAAATCACAGAGCCCTGTTTAATTAACAATGATATCGTTCTACTGTATATCAGTTTTAATACAGTTTTAGGAAGCGTTTGCCCAGAAATCATGGTATGTTATCGTAAGGAAGTTATCGATACATTACAAGCGTTTATATAATTACTAGTTATGATGGTAAAGTTCATTACTTGTTTTTAGAATCAGAATCATCATCGCTTGACTTTACGTTCAACTTTAACATAAAAGCAACCATGAACCTTGAAACTGCGTTAAAATGTCTATTTTTCCAAGTCAACAGCAGCCGATAAGCATGTTTCTCCGCCATGTTGATGCAGGTTTATGTAAAACCTCATTTGGAAACAATAACGGAATATTTAACTTGTTTCTGTTGTAATATGTTAAGTTTGCACAATTTAATACAGTGTGGTATACATGTTGAATTGCTTAGTGTTTTAGATTATTTGTTTACTGTTAAATAATCTTTAAGTAAAAGCAATAAACTATTGTATTGTCCGTTTTATATTTTCTACGAAACCGCACCTCAGAGCGAGGCTGTAACCAGGGACGTGGCATAGCAACTTGCCATAGCAACTCCGCTTGGCCGCCATTCCTGTCAACAATGTCCTGTCTGGGAACGCTCTGCAGTACAAGAGGGGAAGCAAGGCGTTAAAACTGGCATATCGATGGACCCCTTGTTAGTTTGAAGTCACCTCTACACCAGCAAAACTTTAAGACTAGTCACAATCATGGCAAGCGAACTTGAACTGAACGACACTCGTGTCGAATTCATAGCGGACTATGTTTTGAAGACCATGAAACTGAAGCCTGATAAATGGATGAAAATGTATAATGTGGACGAAGTGAAGCAACAGTTTTTGGACTACTTTGAAAAATCAGAACTTGCATCACTTATTATATCGTTGAGCAGCTCTGGGACACTTTCTGTGGGGTTTGAATGGCCATTAAGCCCAAAAGGAAAAGCCTGTTACTTTGTGAAAAAGGCAAGGGAGCCAATCCAAAAAGACACACCTTTGAGAACTGCATTACTATACGGTGATCTTGCTCTTTCACCACTGGATCAGCTATCAGCATTTGTCGATGAGGTATGTCGATAATCGTTTTGCTTTAGAAAATATCAGGCCACTCGCTCCAGACTTGATACCACCATTAGACTACCATTAAACAATAGAAAGTAGGCCTTTTTGACCACAGAGAAAAGGGCACCTGTGTATATTATCAGTATGAAGAATACAGAGTATTCTTACAGTACGAGAAGCAGGAGCATTGTCACCTAGTGCTGGCAAGATTTAGATTTAAATTTAATTTGTTAAGTATAGCCTATAGATTTAACATACGTAACTGCTATTTCAATGTCTATGTTACATGGTATGGATACATAGTCTCCTTCCAAAATCCAAATCTGTGCAAGTTCATACAACTAAGCTTATGTTTTAGACTGTAACCAGTCTCACATACTGTATGTGTTTTAGGTACAAAACAATTGAGTGAGCAGAACAAAGCTTTCAATACATCTGTCATCACTTTAGCAAAATGTAAAACCTATCAAACAATTTGATGAACCATGTGGTGCAAACCTATATTTCAGGTTCTAGTGCCACTGTTGTCTAATGAACGAAACCATGACCACTGGCCAAAGGTTGTTTCCCATGATGTCACACGCCATGTACATAGCCTCAAGAGCAATGTGTATGTTGTGTCAGGACAAGCTAAAGGCAAGACATTGCTTCCACTGCCTGTTGGAGCTGAGAGAGTGGAGGAGGCAACAGTTGAAGATGAAAAGTGATTATTTTTGTTTCATAAATGAATGTATATATTTTTCATAGAACTAGAGTGTGAATTATATGCATAATGTTTTCTGTGAATAATGTCACAGTCTATTTGGATTGTATAGTGTTTGAATTTTTCTGTAATTACATACATATGGCCTCTTTCAGGGACACTTATGACAGAAACCTAGTCCATGCAATTGAATCTGTGATAATTGAATGGACACATCAAATCAGAGATGTTCTTAAGAGGGATTCTGCTCAGCCTCTTTTGGAGGGACTTGACCCAACCCCATTTGTGGAACTTGACTTCTGGAAGAACAAGGCCACAAACCTTGAGTGTATTTATGAACAGGTATTTTGTTTATTCATTTGAAATAATTAATATCATTGTAACATTAGACAATAATGAATTTTAAGACTTTCAATCCTGCCTGCTTCACTTGCATTGCCAGGTGCTTCACTTGATAAAATACACCATACACGTAACACTAACAGTTTATGTCTAAAGTGTTAAAGTTGGATTGAAAATGATTTGGAGCAAAAAGGTCAGCATCTATCAAGCTATGAACACATCTCACTTAAATTACAGGCATTTAAAAATATTATCTGACATTCATTATTAGTGACATTTTTGTAGCTGAGGGATCCAAAGGTGAGGAAGATGGCTGAATTACTTGAGAGAACCAACAGCAGTTACTTCCCTTCTTTCAAGAACATTTTCAGGGATGTGGTGGCAGGTATGTATTATCTGCATGGAGTGAAATCATTTACATTATTGTTTTCATAAGCTTCCCTTGAAATTGAAGTACATTTTTGTGTTATGTTAAGCGTCTTGAAAATTATGGGAATAAATCTTATTCAGCTCTGACTGAGGCACAAGACATCAACCTGTACCTGAAACCTCTGAGACATCTCTTTGAGGATCTGGAGCAGGCTGAGTTTGATGAGAGCATCCCAATGCTTGCCCCTCTCTTCCACACCACATGTCTTGTATGGGCCAACTCCAAGTACTACAATACTCCAGCCAGGATCATTGTACTCCTGCAGGAGATATGCAACATGGAGATTGAAATGGTAGGTTCTTGAGACAATTTGGTGTGAATATTATCTTATGAAAGATACAATAAACATTTGAGATGCAATGAAAATGCTCACTCAGAGTAATTTATAAACAGATTGTGTCATGAACAACTTTTAGGCTCTTTATATTTCCATAAGGTAACGGCAGTTCAGAGAAAGTGAAGTTTGCAACCTCTTCCATTAGCCATTTCACTCAGTCATTTGATTCAATTTCAGTAGAAAGGCTGAACATATATCTGGCTCAAATTCAATATCGAACAGAGTGTTAGAAAGACTGCAGTATTTGGCCATGTGCCAAGTGGTTTCTGCATATGTCACTTTACTTGGAACAGTGCCAGTGGAATATGCTGGCACCTATTGAAATGTGACGCACGGTTTGAATGAGTGCCAACACATAGATCATAATCATTGAATTGATCTTGTGTTTGCTTACATATTGTTTGTGTGTATAGCCAGACCTTTTTTCTGTTGTTTTTTATTTGTTTTGTTAATATAGCTTGTGAGTGAGTGAATGAGTGAGTATGGTTTTACGCCGCATTTAGCAATATTCCAGCAATATCACAGCGGGGGACACCAGAAATGGGCTTCACACATTGTACCCATTTGGGGAATCGAACCCGGGCCTTTGGCATGACGAGCGAACACTTTAACCACCAATAAAACTTGTGATATCAATTAGCAGAATAAATGAATTTAGGGACATCTGATTAAAATTCTGAAATATGATCTCAATTTAGCCGTTTTGGCATATTCTCAAAATGAAAGTTCAAGAAATTTTGTTGCAAAAATCCTGATTTTTTCTATTTATGCTATCAATCTGGGCAGTGTAGTGATTCAGTCAACACATTGTGTTTCAGGCTAAAAACTTCCTTGAACCTTCTGAGCTGTTCAAGGGTGAGGTTGAAGAGACAGTGGAGAAGGTCTGCAAAGCAAGTAAAGTTCTGCAGAGTTTCCGCAACACATATGAAGAACACAAGGACAAACTGAAGACTTATTTCCCTGAAGGGGAAGAAGCAAGAGAGTGGGAGTTTGCCCCACAACTGGTCTTTGCAAGATTTGACAAATTTGCTGACCGAGTGGAAACTATCAAGGTAACACTGATTCAGTTTAGAATGGGTCCCTGGTAACATAATGGTGGTCATAAGAGATGACTAACATGATTATATGGTCAGATTCAGGGAACTAATTTGCAAGTCATCGTAACCTTATTGGGAGATGATGCACTTCGTATCAGTCACATGATTGTGTGGTCCCAACTCGGCTATTTACATCTGTTGCTATAGAGCATCCTCTAACAACAAAGAAAACATCAAATAAATAAAAAATATTTGAATTTGTGCAGCATCAGTAACTTTTAACCCAGTAGATAATAACAATAAATGTAATATGTTGGACCAATTTTTATGGTTATTCATTTTTAGACCACCTTGTTCTTTTGATTTGTAAGTTATTTATTGATCTTATGTTTTAAAACATCAGTAATTCTTTCATTCACAGCACGTTTATTTCGCACATGCTTACTGTGTTGATTCTTCCAGGAACTTATGGAAACTGCCTTGGAAATGATGAAACTTGAGAAGATTGAGCTTGGTGGTATCAAAGGGAAGTCACTCAGTGCTCAGGTTGTGCAGATCTTTGAAGAGTTCAATGAAGTTTACAAGGTGTTTTCTGACCGTTCTTATGACTGTCTTGACCCAAGCAGTAAGGAATTCCTTGATGACTACAACAGTTTCTTAGAGAAAATTGGAGACTTTGACAGAAGACTGGCAACCATAATTTGTCAAGCATATGATGACTGCTCAGGACTGGAGGCCATCTTCAAGGTAATTTTCTTTCTATGAATGTGCACCAATTTATATAACTAACGTTGATTTTAAAATCATGTTTGGGAAATGTTTACACGGACAAGCTTTCTTACAATTTCAGTTGTCTTTGTTGGGAAAATCTGGGTCCTTTTCTAATAAATATATTTGTGGACTAGATCTTCATTGATATTAATAGCTGTACCTGTTATGGCATATATTCACTGATTCATCCTTTGAGAATCATTGCTGCCATAGATTTCTTACATTATTCATGTCATTTTTTTCTTTAAGCTAATTGACATCTCAGGAACACTGCTGGAGAGACCTCTCATCAAGAGTGATTTTGATAAGAAATACCCAACCATTGTCACAAAGATAAATGACTGCCTTGATGAAGCCAAAGTTATCTATGATAAACAAACGTTAATCAAGAAAGAGACAAAGAGGGCACCCATTCACAAGAATATGCCGGGAATGTCAGGTGGACTACGATGGGCCAAGGAACTCCGGGATAGAATATCTGTACCCATGGGAAACCTCAAACATATTGAGCACCCGTAAGTGATGAATAACTGGCATATCTATTTGCATACATTCCTTATCCATCATAATGTGAAGAAATGTAATGCAATAAAATGTCATACCTTGTTCTAAAACTGTGAAGTTGTGTGATCATACAAAGTTATTGTGACCATATTTTGCATGTAAGTTAATAAAGTTTAAAACTGTGTTATAAAAATTATCTAGGATTATGATCTTTATCATGATTTTGTTCTTATTGGGAATTTTTGTCCTGAATTACAGATGTCTGGAAAGTGAAGAAGCAAGACTGGTGTTTACAAAGTATGAAGAAATGATGAAACTGCTTGGAGAGTGAGTTTATTGTTTTATTGTTTAATACTGATGTGCTTCCACAGATATGTAATGTCTTGATGAAATATAAATGTTTGTAATCAATCTTCAGTAGTGGTGGTTTTAAATTTGATTTTATATGGAATCTCTTTTACTGTGCAAAACCTCATGCTGGTGTTTGTGTTTAGGTGGGACGGACAAATCTACAATGAATGGACACAGGGTGTGGATGAGGCTTGCTCATTTAACCTGTCACAGCCCATTCTCACTAGAAGTGAGGAGTCAAAACTCATCACTGTCAACTTTGATCCACAGGCAAGTCATACATAACATAGAGCTTACTACCTCACAAACTGCACGATATAATGTTACAGAATTAACACTGTAATGGAAATGTTGAAGGTCATGTGTATCCTACTGATTTTAGGGAGTCCGACACAATTCTTTGTGAACAGTTGAATCCCTAACTCATGCAAGGGTCTGCTGAACAAGGATAAGAATTGCAGATCTGATCTCAGTATGGTTGTTTTCCCTCATTAAACTGACATCCTGTATCAAAATGCAGTTTAAATCAGTCCAAGTCCCTCACTGAATACGGCCAAGTTTCCTTCTTTGAATAATTGAGAGAATCACTATAAAACTGGTTTTCCAGCATCAAGGAGAAATTATTAAATGATGATATTGATATCTTTTATTATTTCAGCTTGTGGCAGTGCTAAGAGAGGTGAAATATCTAGAAATTCGTTCAGAAGAGGAAATTCCACAAAGTGCTAATGCTATGTATGACAGAAATGACACATTCAGGAAGTATCTTGCCAATTTGGACCTTACTGTGCAGTGGTATAATAAAGTCAGGTCTACTGTGCTGGAGGTAGAGTATCCACTGATAGAGGGACAGTTGAATGATATCGACGTCCAACTGGAACAAGCAGAGAAAACTCTCAACTGGAATGGAGATGGTGAGTCAGTTGCTTTAGGAGGATATTTTCTTGGAATTGGGACACACTGTGGTTTGAAATCTAAATTACAAGTCATGTTGTTGGAATGGTAATCATTGTTGATAATGCTTCTACTTTTTTCCAGGTATATGGGATTATATTCAGGAAACAAGGGACAAGGTGCATGACTTAGAAACACGAGTTCAGAAGGCCAAGGACAATGTTGAAAAGATCCAGAAAATTATGACGACATGGAGCAAGAACCCCTTGTTTGTGAGGAAGGAGGATAAGTATGATTCCTTGTTGAATCTGGATGACAGGGAAGATAGGCTCAATAAGCGCTACACAGAAATCAAGACGGCTGGAGAGAAAATACATGGTTTACTGAAGGTATGCACGGTCACATGAGATTTGATTTGAAATTGTGTTAATTGATAAAGGGCTACCTAAACAATATCTTAATTTTAGGAGACAACATGAAATTTTAGGGAAAATAATGTCAATGCTTTGTGAAATAAGTTACTGAAAGTGCTAAATCATATGAAACAATAAATATTATATTGGTGTGATAAAATACTTTAAAAGCTATGTGTTTCAGTTTATTTATAAAAAGGTGAAAAGAGCAAGTATTGAATTTTTTTTTAATATGCACTGCATTCTTATGATAATTAACTGTATTTCAGGAAAATCTGGAGTTCTTCAAGGCAGATGCACAGTCAGACACATGGAAAGCTTATGTTGACTATGTAGATGAAATGATTGTGGATGGATTTTTCAATACCATGCATTGTAGTTTGCAACACTTCTTGGACAATACTGATCAGAAGAATACTCCACCTTCACTGTTTGAAGCTCATTTGGAGCTGCATGTGCCAGACATGGTGTTCTTGCCGTCACTGGACTATGGTATTGCTGATGGCTTCTACGACTTAGTGGATGGGCTTGTTGGGGATATCTATAAACAATCCTCTCTCATTCCAAGACTGGCAGTGCACAGTGGCCAGGAACACTATCAGGTACAAATGTGATCGGTGATTCTCTGTTTGTGATACATTCTGAATGGGGGCGGTGGGGGTAGCCTAGTGGTTAAAGCGTTCACTCGTCACGCCGAAGACCTGGGTTCGATTCCCCAAATGGGTACAATGTGTGAAGCCCATTTCTGGTGTCCCCCGCTGTTATATTGCTGGAATATTGCTACAAGTGGCGTAAAACCAAACTCACTCACACATTCTGAATGGGAAATGGTTGTGATTCAGAAGATGCAAAACCAAGAGTTTTCTTCTTTTTCTTGTTCATAATTTACTGAACATGTTAATGAGTTTGTCGAAATATTTTGTCCTGTTGATCTTCCTGGGTCTTCTGGAGAAAAAATGATAAATGTAATGTCACATGTATTAATTGTATGTTTGTGTCATTTTGCAGCCTGACTTAGAGGACACGGAGGAATTAAGTGAAATGCGGACAGATCTGATGGAAAGAGTACAAAACATCATGAACAAGGCATGCGAGTACCGCAACTCCTTTGACAACTATGCCTACTTGTGGGTAGATGACCGTAATGAATTTATGCGACAGTTCCTGCTGTACAATCACGTGCTGACCACTGAAGAGCTTGAAGCCCATGCTGATGAGGGTGTGCCTGAATGTCCACCTACGCTTGATCAGTTCAAAGAACAGGTATGACAGTGTCCTATTATCTCAACTGCTGATATGTCTTTAAGGTGTTGTTTTACGCACGTATGTTAAATGGCATCAGATGAACTAAACATATCTGACAGTATTTGTGATGAATGAGTTTATATATTGTAATGAGAATGAATTTGTTTGTAGATCGACACGTATGAAAAGATCTATGAAGAGGCAGAGCATATTGGGGGGAATGACGATATTTGAGAGTTGGTTTAGAGTTGATGCTAAACCCTTCAAACAAGCCCTGCTTAACATCATCAAGAGATGGAGCTTCATGTTCAAACAACATCTCATTGACCATGTCACCAACAGGTATGTTTTAGTGGGTGACTGGATAACTTAAGTGTTAAGAGCATTTGGTAATAGAACTTAATTGTTCTTGTGAAATAACTTGTGACAGAGGTACAGATAAGCTGCGTATCTGCGTAAATTAAGCAAATATTTATGTGAAAACTCAATTCCTGTAAAGTCTATTGCGTACAAGTATGCTTGAAGTTATGTAAATACTCAATAAATGTCAAATTGTAGCTTGCGTATCAGTGGATAGATAAACTAACTGAAGTATATTGAGAGGTTCCTATCAGAAAATGAACTTGACAACTTGCAGGTTTTCTTATCGTTTCCCATATTACAGATCCAGTGTAAATCAAAACACTAACATTTAAACTTTATTATATTTTTTTAAAATTAATGGAAAATGGCAAAATACCCAATTGAGTTTGAGTGAGGTGAGCACAATTTATTTCGTTACTCAAAGGAAAATTAGGATACCCAAGTGAGATGAAGACAAGGAAGTACATAACTCAATGACCCAAAAGGTTATCTGTAGCTCTGATGTGAAACTTGTTCTCAGTATCCACCACCATTGTGTAGCTGGAATATTGCTCAAATAGCCAAACTATTCTCTCTCAATTTCAAGAATCATATATCTTTTAGCTTTCTCATAGTTATAACACTGATGTATGACTAAAGCCACTGGTATGAAGCCAATGTCTAGTACAGTTTTCATTGGTTTACTATTATCAGTTAAGAATAATTTAAATTATAGCACAGGTCTTAAAGGTTTTGGCACAGAATGTAACACTATTGCATGTTTGATATCATAATTAGGCATTTAGAACTAAACAAATCGTTCAGGGTCTTACAAATCATGTTGAACAGACTATTTCTTACATTTGCATTTTTTCTACAGCTTGAATGAGTTGTCTGACTTCATCAAGGTGACAGACACCGGTCTGAACACACCAGTTGAGGAGGGAGACTATGACGGGCTGGTGAATGTCATGGGGCATCTGTTTTCTGTGCGAGAGAGACAGAGTTCCACAGATGAGATGTTTGAACCTCTCAAACATACCATTGAACTGCTGAAAACATATGAACAGGAGATGCCAGAGGAAGTGCATGTCCAGCTTCAGGTCGGTAGATTTTTATGTACAGGTTTATGTTCCAACACTGTTTAATTCTTGTGTATCTTTTGAAGCGAGCAACAATATTTTTCCTTGACAGTAGCATATTGACAAATTTTTCAAAATCATTTTCTACTGGAATATTTTGGAAAGATTCGGTATATAGGTTTGCGAAAATGACTAATGCTTGTCATACATTGTATTGTCAGGAACTACCAGAACAGTGGAACAACACCAAGAAAATTAGCATCACCATCAAACAGACAGTTGCACCACTGCAGGCTAATGAGGTGGCCAACATTCGTAAGAAGAGTGCCACCTTTGATGTCAACCAACACAAATTCAGAGAAAGGTTCAGGAACATCAAACCATTCAGATACGACTGTGAAAGGCCGTATGACTTGCTTGACAAGGTTTGTATCCCTGATCATCTTATTTCTCTATGTGCAATAGACCCCCAAGTCTATTTCTGTTTGCTTCAGTTTGCATTTGCATTAAAAAAAGGTAAAAACATGTTAGTGAAATTATATCACTTTGAGTAGTTACCCAAGGTAATTTTTTGCGGCAACAGAGTGCTTCGTCTTGCATATTGTGAGCTTTTGTGATATACCACTCACAAAGGTTAATTTGTTTTCTATGAAGCCCTAGTTATGGACAAGTTGACTGAGTAGGGACATCCAATTGTCCCAGTGTTGAATATTTTACCTGAAGAAGCTGATGAAAGGAATATTTGTGTTTTTAGAATAATGAAGAAATCCTTACCATGGAACGAGAAATGGCAGTTCTTCTGGACAGTGCTGGTCTGTTTGAGGTGAATGTTCCTGACTTCAAGCAGCTGAAACAGTGTCGTAAGGAAATCAAGCTACTCAAGATCTTATGGGACTACATCACCATTGTGCGCAGTAGCATAGATGACTGGAAGACAACACCATGGAAGGAAATCAATGTTGAACAGATGGACATGGACTGTAAAAAGTTCGCCAAGGATATCCGCACCTTGGACAAGGAGATGCGAGCCTGGGATGCCTATGTTGGTGTTGAGGACCAGGTGAAGAACATGCTGACATCACTCCGAGCTGTCAGTGAGTTGCAGAACCCAGCCATCAGAGAGAGACATTGGCAGCAGCTGATGGCAGCCACCAAGGTAACTTTACTCTTACATATGAAATGCTGTTGAATCAATGTCTGTGGAGATAATTGAACCAGATGAATTTTTTTTACCTGAATCTGTTGTTTTGCCTCTTGAAATGTTATAATTTTTCCTTATCCAGACTCAGGCTTATTTGCTTTCTCTTCCCCTTTTCCGAATGGTTAGTGGAAACTTGAATCCCTTCAAAATTCCCTAGAAGCGAACGTACAATCATTCACCCTGAGCTACCTCCTTTTCTCGCCAAAAAGTACCTGTGCACGCACAAACCTCACTCTCTCTGAGAATCTATTTGATTGCTTTCTCTCCTTTAGGTGCGCTTCATGATGGATGAAAGCACAACCCTGGCTGATCTCCTCTCCCCTCAACTTGCACAACTATGAGGAGGAGGTGCGCAACATTGTGGACAAAGCTGTGAAGGAGATGAGTATGGAAAAGGTCCTTAAAGAGCTGGACGTCACATGGTCCAACATGGAGTTCGAACATGAGAAGCACTCCCGTACTTCCATCACAATGATCAAAACCAGTGAGGAGCTCATAGAAACACTGGAAGATAACCAGGTCAGTTTCAACCCACAACAGTATAAAAGCTTCAATAACATTGTCACTGTGTCACTGGAGTTATAGAGCACTATTCATACACAATGCCTCATATTCTCATTCCAATATTTTCCAGGTACAACTTCAAAACATGATGACATCAAAGTACATCGCTCACTTCCTAACTGAGGTGTCTGGCTGGCAGAAGAAGTTGTCTACAGCAGATCAGGTGATCACCATCTACATGGAGGTACAGAGGACCTGGTCTCATCTGGAGAGTATCTTCATTGGCTCCGAGGACATTCGGAACCAGCTGCCAGAAGATTCCAAGAGATTTGACAACATAGACTCTGACTTCAAGGTAATAGGGCTGAGGGGGCCTATGGATTCAGTTAAAAGGATGATGTGCTGTATTCTTGCTGTTATTCCGGGTGGCATTATCCCAGGTGAAATCTTCCAGATCAGGACATTGTAACCAGAAACATATCGTGGATAGAATTGTCCTTTCCATATGTGTAGATGTTCTCAGATTTCTTCGTCCATCCGGAAGGCAAGGACTTCAGACTGAAACTACAGTAAACCATTGAATAAACACCCAGCATTTATCTTTTTTGGAAGTACCTGTGATCTGGTGTTTATCCAAGGGAGACTAATTTGTTTTAGAAGTGGACTTTTATATCAAAGCCTAGTGTTGTTTCCTCACATCATGTACTAGTATCCTATAGATATTATTTGGTAGGTATTTTCACCCTCCAAAATGTAGATTTGATATTGACAGTATTTGGATGTGTTATAGTCATTTGTAAGCAATTGAGATTTCTTCTGGAAAATTGATTCATGCTGTTATTTTTTTTTTCAGGAATTAGTTGGTGAATTTGAGAAGAGTAAGAATGTTGTGGTTTCAACCAACCAGCCTAAATTGTATGAAAGATTAGAAGCATTGCAAGGTTCGCTGTCAATTTGTGAAAAGGCTCTTGCAGAATACTTGGAGACAAAGCGTCTTGCCTTCCCAAGATTCTACTTTGTGTCATCAGCTGACTTGCTGGATATATTGTCCAATGGCAATAACCCACCAGTGGTAGGTCATCACTAATAGGATTGCTTAGACAAAAACAAACTAAGCTTCAATTACATATCTGTTATCAATATGTATCAATGCTAAATTTGCAGTCTGTATGCATCAGTGTTTGCATGATAAGATTAATTGAATATAATATCTCATTGGGTTTCCTTTTGAGATCTGAGGTAGTATAGGGCTTTACACATATATGCTTGTCGGAAGAAGCCACTAAATGGCCAGGCTGGATGACTTTGTTCATGTTGTGTCATCATACTGGGATGGTGCTCATGCTATCACTCACTAGTTTGTTTTATCCAAACTGAAATATTTACAGGCTGACTCTATATGCAATGCTTGAATATTGCTGAGTGTAGTGTAAAACATCAATGCAAGCAACAAACATATCTTATTTTGATGTTTTCCTAATCATGTATATTCCTAATCATTTGCAGGTGTCACGCCACTTGACCAAACTGTTTGACAGTATGGCTAAACTCAAGTTTGATATGGACTCAAATGATGTTGAGCTCAAGTCAGCAAGTGGAATGTACAGCAAGGATGGAGAATATGTTGATCTGGACAAAAAGTGTGATCTTTCAGGACAGGTTAGTCAGTGGCCTGCTTTATTCTGACGGTCAACTAAAACCAACAGGCTTGACCCATATTTGGTTTGTCCCCAGGAATCAAGTCTACTTGACATTAGGATAAATAATTCTACTGATTGCCTTAAGAGAATTGTAATGATTAGCATTGATTTATGGATTGTATCTGTTTGACAAACTATGCACAGGTCATGAATGTGAACATAAACACACAATAATTCATATTTTAGGTTGAAGTCTGGTTGAATAGATTGCTAGACTCCCAATGCAGCACAGTGCGTCATGAGCTAACAGAGGCGGTGACTGGATATGAAGAGAAGCCTCGCGACCAGTGGTTGTTTGACTTTCCCGCCCAGGTTGCTTTGTGTGGGACACAGATCTGGTGGACGACTGAAGTTAACATCGCTTTTGGACGTCTTGAAGAGGGCTTTGAGAATGCATTGAAGGACTATAGCAAGAAACAGGTTTGTTCAATTTTTATAAAACGGACAATTTTTTGTAAGAATATGTTTCACAGAATTAAGTACACTCAGTTTTCTTTCAAAGAGGCTGTGCACCTCACATAAGTCAGACTTTCCTGGGCATTTGGAGTATGATATTTCTATAGTAAAGCATGTGAGTTTTGACAGCTGGTTAGTAGATGTATTTCATCAGATATTTTATTTCTTATTAGAAAGGGTATTCCTGAAGGCAATGACATTCCGATAATGAAGATAACAAGAAGACATGTTTAGGTTATGTTTCAATGTCTAGGTAAACCAGCTGAATGCCTTGATCACCATGCTGCTGGGAGATCTGACCAAGGGTGACAGACAGAAGATCATGACCATCTGTACCATTGATGTGCATGCTCGAGATGTTGTCACTAAACTCATCACACAGAAAGTAGATAATTCCCAGGCCTTCACATGGCTGTCACAGCTCAGACACAGATGGGATGACAATGAGACAGACTGCTTTGCCAACATCTGTGATGCCCAGTTCCGTTACTCTCATGAGTATCTCGGCAACACTGCTCGTCTTGTCATTACACCATTGACTGACAGGTAACATCATGGAGACTTTAGATGAACATTTGAATTGTCAATACAAGTATTATCAGTGAATGTAAGCCTATGTCTTTAGCCACTAGTCTGAAGCCTGAGTCTTGTGACATTCAGCTTGTTCCAGTAAATTCAGCTAACTAGTTTACAACATAACACTATATGTACTAGAAACAAAGCAAAGAACCAAGTTAAGGCTAACAGACACAGATGTTTGGGGAATACACTGGTACTTTGTGGTTTATGTTTACATGCATTCTGCTAATTGCTCATTATGTGTAATTTCACCTAAAACTTCAGTGTTTTGTGGGAAATGTTTATTTTGTTGTACTACCGGTACATGTTTGATCATTCCAAAGATGCGAGTGCACAGTTTTCAAGGTAACTTGGTCTTCTGTGAAGAATTCACAAGTAATAGTCAGACTTGATCACATATTTAATGTATTGGTATATATAGTTACTAAAGGTACATCTGATCTCATTTTCCAAATTGTAGATATGAGAATCATCGTAGACTCAGTTAGTTATTTTATTATAAGCATGTGAGTTGACTGAAGTTTACAAATGAAATAGAAAATTGTGGAATGTTGACATTTCAGATGCTACATTACACTGACTCAGTCTCTCCACTTGATCATGAGTGGTGCTCCGGCCGGCCCTGCTGGAACAGGAAAGACAGAAACAACTAAGGATCTGGGCCGGGCTCTGGGTATTATGGTGTATGTGTTCAACTGCTCTGAACAGATGGACTACAAGGTCAGTACCAACATGACACATTTACCGTAACTACATGTATATATTTAGGCATTTTAGGAGCAAAATAAATAATATCTGACTTTCATAAAGTATTGATACCATGGCTTATAATGGAGGTTCTCTCAGGTATTGCTGTATGGAGCCTCAATTACATATCTATATGTATGTGCTAGCCCATGTGCCAGTGGGCACAATGTTGAACATTTCTGGTGTATGTGAATATTGCTAAAAGCGGCGTAAAACCAAACTCAGTCAGTCAGTCAACACCAGCACATTGCTTGTTGCTTTAGATGTTTCACAGCTGATACTGCCATAAGACTTCCTACCTCTTTAACTAATACACTATTTATGCTATTGTTTAACTCAATTTTGCATTTCAGTCTATTGGTAACATCTACAAGGGTCTGGCACAGTCTGGCTCCTGGGGTTGCTTTGATGAATTCAACCGTATTGCTGTAGAAGTGTTATCTGTGGTGGCTGTGCAGGTCAAATGTATTCAGGATGCTATCCGTGACAAGAAGAAGATCTTCAACTTCCTTGGTGAGACCATCAAAATGAAACCCACTGTTGGAATCTTCATCACCATGAACCCTGGTTATGCTGGTAGAACAGAGCTGCCTGAGAACCTCAAGGCTCTTTTCAGGTTGGTGTTGAAATGACTGTTACAATGATTCTTTTGCTTTTCTGTTTTCTCAACATTTCCAGCTTATGTATATTATTGATTGATGATTATGAATGATGCTTTTAGCATCCAAGCCTTCATAAGGCTCTGGAGGCTAGAAGCTTGACATTATGTATCGATGTGTATTTAAATCCCCCTAAGAAAATTAACACAAAAATAAAGTTTATGGATAATATTTTTCAGGTTACTTGAGTTTGTTATCTCTGATAATGAATATTCATTTGCTAATATTGTTTAGAAATCAAAACAATTTTTAATTATTTTTTTTAACCACAGACCATGTGCTATGGTGGTTCCTGACTTTGAGATGATTTGTGAAATCATGTTGGTGTCTGAGGGTTTCTTGGATGCCCGTTTGCTGGCCAGGAAGTTCATCACTCTGTACAGTCTGTGTAAGGAGCTGTTGTCTAAACAGGATCACTACGATTGGGGTCTGCGTGCTATCAAGTCAGTGTTGGTGGTAGCTGGTTCACTCAAGAGAAGTGACAGAGGTAGACCTGAGGATCAAGTGTTGATGAGAGCATTGCGTGATTTCAACATCCCCAAGATTGTTGCTGATGACATGCCTGTATTCATGGGTCTCATTGGAGATTTGTTCCCAGCTCTGGATGTGCCACGTAAACGTGACATGGAGTTTGAGAAGCAGATCAAACAGGCAACCCTAGACCAGAAGCTACAGCCAGAGGACAACTTCATTCTGAAGGTGGTACAACTACAGGAGCTGTTTGAGGTGCGTCATTCCGTCTTCCTGTTGGGTAATGCTGGTACAGGCAAGAGCAAAGTGTGGAACACTCTCATGAGAACATATAAAAATCTCGGGAAGAAACCAACCTCAGTGGATCTTGGACCCAAAGGCTGTCACTAATGATGAACTGTTTGGAGTGATTAACCCATCAACCAGAGAGTGGAAAGACGGTAGGTGTATAAGTACAACATAGGTTACATTCATACTCAGTTTAAACTATAGTGTCACATTTATTTGTATAAATACAACATAGGTTACATTCATACTCAGTTTAAACTATAGTGTCACATTTATTTCCAAATTAAAACAATCAGTTTACCCACAATTCTGCTCGCAAAAGTATTCAGTGTGGCAGCAACAAACTAACAGAGAAATGTTATAAATTGACAATTGTATTATATTATCAACTCTGTTTACAATCAAAATAACTTACTGTAAAGAACAACAGAGTGGCAGTACTTATTCAGTTCAGGCAGTTCATTTACGTAGGCAGTATTAGATATAATAGTGGTAGTAACAGTAATTCAGTCATGATAATATTCCCAAGCAGCAACAGAGGCCAAGCTTCTAAAATAGGCTTGATATCCAGAGTGAAAAAATGTCTTCACACAACCAATGGCCTTGGAGTAATGTGGGATGAGAGAAGCATGTGTTTCCACCTGGCCATATTTTGAACACCTTCCAGACAGTGCAAAACTATGATGGATTAATCTATTACCGTTCTAGAAGATTCTAGATTATACTTGGCTTCTATATAAAATACCATCACCATCACAGTTTATATTAAATAATAAATTTCTGACAAACAATTATTATTAAAACACAATGTTATGAACGTCTACTGAATCCTAACAGAAATAACATTGTTCAGGAATAAACTGTTCTGCCATGGCACAAAGCTTCAAGTGTCTTCACCTCTGTTTATATGTTTCACTCAATAAAAACAACTAGTGGTATATTTCAAGCGTTGAGTTTGTGACCACAGTGTCTGTCATGTTGATTAAAGAACATAGAAAGGAAAGGTACTTTATGGTACATCAACTTCTAAAATGCCTATCAAACAGATTGATAAGAACTTGTGATCATCCTTCTGATTTGTTTTCTTCCATTGTAGGCTTGTTCTCTGTGATCATGAGAGATTTGGCTAACATGACAGGGGATGGCCCTAAGTGGATTGTTCTTGATGGTGACATTGATCCTATGTGGATCGAGTCTCTCAACACTGTGATGGATGACAACAAGGTGCTGACACTGGCTAGTAATGAGCGGATTCCTCTCACTCCTTCTATGCGACTGCTGTTTGAGATCAGCCACTTGAAGACTGCCACACCAGCCACTGTGTCCAGAGCTGGTATCCTCTTTGTCAACTCCCAGGACTTGGGCTGGAACCCGTATGTCCAGAGTTGGATTGACAGCCGAGAAGTTCAGTCTGAGAGGGCCAACTTGCTCATACTGTTTGATAAGTATGTTCCCAGCTGTCTTGAAACAATGCGTCATCGCTTCAAGAAAATTACACCAATTGCTGAGATCTCCCATATCCAAATGTTGTGCCATCTGCTTGAGTGCCTGCTGACCCCAGAGAACACCCCACCTGACTGCCCAAAGGAGCTGTATGAGCTATACTTTGTCTTTGCGTGTGTTTGGGCCTTCGGAGGATCCATGTTCCAGGATCAGGTAATAATGTTTTCATTATGGGGCATAACTTTGTGAAAACTTTGCAACTGAACCATATGGATCATGTTTTAATGTTTGTGTTTCCTCTTCAGCTTGTTGATCATCGTGTGGAGTTTACCAAATGGTGGGTGACAGAGTTCAAAACAATCAAATTCCCCTCAGCTGGAACAGTATTTGACTACTATATTGATCCAGAAAGCAAGAAGTTTGAGACATGGACAAAGAGAGTGCCAAAGTTTGAATATGATCCCGACATACCGATGCAGGTAACAGTCTTTGGAATACATTTTTATATGGCATTGTCATGAAACTAGTTAAAACATTGTTTTGGTTGGTTTTGAAAAGAATTAAAGTGTTAAGAATACATGTGCTCATTTCTGTATTTGGCATTCCTAGGCTGTTTTGGTGTACACCGCTGAGACGATACGAGTGAAGTTTTTCCTGGACATGTTGGTGAACATCCGTCGGCCGGTCATGTTGGTGGGCAATGCTGGTGCTGGAAAGACTGTATTGATGGGAGACAAGCTGAACAGTTTGTCAGATGAGTTCATGGTTGCTAATGTACCCTTCAACTTCTACACCACCTCAGAGATGTTGCAGAGAGTGTTGGAGAAGCCCTTGGAGAAAAAGGCTGGACGTAACTATGGTCCTCCTGGTAGCAGACGTCTTGTCTACTTTGTGGATGACATGAACATGCCTGAGGTAGACAAATACTTCACAGTGCAGCCGCATACTCTCATCCGTCAACACATTGATCATGGTCATTGGTATGACAGGACCAAGCTGTCACTGAAGGACATTCACAACACCCAGTATGTGGCCTGCATGAACCCCACTGCTGGTAGCTTCACCATCGACTCCAGATTACAGGTGAACTATAGATTTTCTTTTCTTTTCCCTTACAGTGGTATTGATGATATAACAAATTTTCTTGCATATCTATTTATGTATATCATTATACTGTAAAGTTCTGATTTCCTTTTTATACAGGTGATATTCATTGTGAAGAATATTCTTTTTCTCTTTTAGCGTCACTTCTGTGTGTTTGCCATGAGTTTCCCTAACAATGAGGCTCTGACAACCATCTACACCAGCATTCTGAGCCAGCATATGCAGCAAGCAGGCTTCCTTACCCCAGTACAGAAGTTTGGCCCCAGTGTGGTTACAGGAGCCCTGAGTCTCCACCAGAAGATCTCGAGCTCCTTCCTGCCCACTGCTATCAAGTTCCACTACATCTTCAATCTCCGGGACCTCTCCAACATCTTCCAGGTGAACATCCATAAGTGATATTTATTACCTTATCCTGACTCATACTAACTTCTTATCTCATCTCATTTCCGAATGGCAGTTGAAATTCCAGTGCTAGTGTTCCCCTAGAACAGAAAAATATCACACACACCTGCAGCCTCGTAATAAAAGAAGTTGTTATCCATAAAGAATCTTACTTTCTTATTTGTCACCAACTTCTAAATGCCAATCAAACAGATCATAGGGGGACACTAGCACTGGAGTTTCCACTGCCATTCCAAAATGAGATGAGATAAGCAATTAGTATGAGTCAGGATAAGGACAAACAATATTTTTATTAAAAGAATTTGATAACTGTACATGCAAGGGATGTTCATAAAATCTAATAGAATAATTGCATGTGCTTAGTGATGAGCAATGAGAAATATGTGTGAATATCTACCACTTAATGCCTTTTTCTTTCCCTCTAAATGTTCTGATATTTACCTAGGGAATGCTATTTGCACAATCGGACTGTGCCAAAACCCCAGCAGATCTGGTTCGTCTGTGGATGCATGAAGCAGAGAGAGTGTACCGAGACAAGCTTGTAGAAGAATCAGACATGGAAAGTTATGACAAGCTTATGAAGGATGTGATCAAAAAGATCTTTGAAGATCTTGATGAGGCTGTTGTACTGAAAAAACCTCTCATCTTTTGCCACTTTGCCTCAGGTATTGGTGATCCCAAATACTTGCCTATTGATTCATGGCCTGATCTGAGTAAGCTGCTGACAGAGGCACTGGATAACTACAATGAACTCAATGCTGCCATGAACCTTGTTTTGTTTGAGGATGCCATGAGTCATATCTGTCGAATCAACCGAATTCTTGAATCCCCTCGTGGCAACGCTTTGCTGATTGGTGTAGGTGGTAGTGGAAAACAGTCCTTGTCTAGACTAGCAGCTTTTATCAGTAGTCTGGATGTCTTCCAGATAACTCTGCGCAAAGGCTACAGTATTGTAGATTTGAAAGCAGACTTGGCAGGTCTGTACCAGAAAACTGGCTTGAAGGGTATGGGAATGGTGTTCCTGATGACTGATGCCCAGGTATCTGATGAGAGGTTCTTGGTGTTAATAAATGATCTGTTGGCTTCTGGTGAGATAACAGATTTGTTTGCTGATGATGAAGTTGAGGAAGTGATCAATGGAGTAAGAAATGAGGTGAAAGGACAAGGCTTGGAAGACACCAGGGAAAACTGCTGGAGGTTTTTCATCGACAGAGTCCGCAGGCTCCTCAAGGTAAGCTTCCTTCTAACTATTGATGACTTTGTTATTGTATTGAAACATACATTGATCAAATAATCGGCTAATAATCGGAATTAGCTTAAAAACAGTGTAAGATTCTCCACCGAAACATCGCTTTGTGCAATATACAAGAAGCTGTTATCCATTATGTTGTATGCTTTATTACTGACTCACCAACTTCTAGAATCAAACAATTATGGACCAATTACAGTGGTACACAGGGATGCATCTAGGCCGTAGGATTTTGGAATGGCACACTTTCATCACCTACTGCAAGATATGAACCCGACTCACAGGTCGAGTTTGAGTTTCGAGGATATATTCATTCGAGGAGTCAAAGTCAGAACAAACACCCCAAAACATATACATAACAATAAAACACACACACACACACACACACACACACACTTTTAATCAAGCGGATGGCGTGGTATAATTTAGTTAACTATTACATTTATCAAATACATTCAAGGATAAACTACACAGACTTTGTATGATATGCATAAAGACTAGTTGTTGTTTTTTATAAATACACCAAAAAGAGTAACAAGAGCCCCTGTGTACTGGGGCGCGGACTGACTGCACCAGTTGATCATACCAACTGCTTCTAAATACAAATAAATATACAAATATAAATACTATTGAAAGACTGGGTAACATACCATGTATGACCTACAACATACCTGGGAACACTTCAAAACATACATACATAGTTATAGACAAACACATAACTGATGAAAAGTATATACTCGCTCTATCATTCTCAAGAACAGAAATAGGAAAGTGAAAAGCTGATGTTTAGGTGAATTAAACTGTGTATACTCTTACTGTTTTAGTTGCATTGCATTTTGGTTATACATATATTGATTATATAGATAATATTAAAACATGATTTGACTATAACTGATTAAGCACTATATACAAGTACACAATTGTGAAATACATACAAAATACATAAGTTACCTGCAGGAACATCTGGTCAGTCTCAGTCTACAGTGGCTTGTGTGCTGTGCTGGTGAAGTGCTCAACTTGAGTATTTTAAACAAGACCAATCAGGAATAAGTTGTATTTAACAAAGGAGTGACCCAAGCTATGCAATCTTACCCCACAGCTACCCAAAGGCACTTAAATAATAGGAGGAGCTGAAGTAGAAAGCAAGTTGACTTTATTCTGTACTTCAAAGTAAACGTTAGTACATTATTTCATTACAACATTGAATTGTGTACTTTTTTATGTGGTGATGGTAAAGTAGCCAACTTCAAATAGGCTCTATGAATCAGGCCTCATTGCTGGTAAAAACATAACAAATAGAAAAGAGAAACTCAATAATTTATTTACAAAACCTAAACCTATCCTAACCTAACCACCTAACCTAATCTATACCTTAACAGTCTAACCTCACCCCAAACCCTAATGAGACATGGCTCTGATTTCAGAGCCTATGCCCAAAACAAATAAATATCTTAATTTCCTATGTAACCCAAAAACCTATATACATGTACTTGGTCTGGATTACCAGGACTCAAGCAACTGAAATAAATGTCCTCACCTCTGGTGAACCAGTGGACTAAAGACAAGGAGTGCTGTGAAGCTACTCTCTTTATAGGGCTAGAGGCAGGCAGTGCATGTGCTGCACATGCCAGGCACAACCTGCCAGGTGTGTTGTGGCTATGCATACCAGCATAGTCGAGAACACACTAATAACCCATGTTATATTAACCCAACCCCAAATAGAACTCAAACTTTACCCGAAATATCCTAAACTACCACATATGTAAAATACAGCTTTATATATACAACATTGCCAAATTGAGGCAATTGGCCAACGATTGTTAAAAAGCTGGATAATAGATGTGTTTCTGGATAATAGATTCGCATGGTATTATTTTCAGGTGGTGTTGTGCTTCTCACCTGTGGGATCTACACTTCGTGTCCGTGGACGTAAATTCCCTGCAGTTGTCAACTGCACATCAATTGATTGGTTCCATGAATGGCCAGAAGAGGCTCTTATATCTGTCAGTGGAAGATTCTTACAAGACACTGAGAGCTTGGATGTAAGTGATATTTTTATGTGGAAACTGCCTGTGGGAAGGACAGAATATGTCCAGTACATCATGTTGCCTGACTTAGGAGCAAACATTCACTCTGAAATGTCGTGTTATTCACAATAAAGAAGTTGACATCCATAAATCTTGCTTTTCATAAGCATTTCACGTCTAAATGCCCTTCAAAGATTTGAGGAATTAGTGGTTCTAATGTGTGATCTTTGCAGCTGTGAATGGCAGCAACATGGATTGTTGCTTATGGTATGAACCAAGTGCTGCTATCTTGATATAACTGGCATTAATGGGTACAACAAGGACTGGTCGTCATATGAAGGAAATATTCTCAAGCACGACGTTAAACCCAATTTCACCTCACCTCACCTTGAAATAACTGGAGTATTGTTCACTGCATGTATATCTGGACTAGAATATAGCGTCAAATTAATCTGTTTGGATGGAAATTCGTTTTTCAGGTTGAAACAAGAAGTTCTGTGAGTGAGTTCATGGCATATGTACACAAGTCAGTGAATCAGATCAGTTCTAAATATCTGAGCAATGAGAAGCGTTACAACTACACCACACCCAAGTCCTTCCTGGAACAAATTGTTCTGTACCAGAACCTTCTGCAGATGAAGAATCAAGAACTTCAAGCAAAGATTATACGTCTAGAGAATGGTCTGGAGAAACTCCGTAGCACTGCATCACAGGTGATTCATCAAACAATATACTCTCAGCTCAAACATACAGAAATGATTCATATTGGAACCAAAGTTCATAATTATTTTTATTTGTAATCCTTTTACTATTAATCATCAATACATGAAAGAACATATTCAGAACACAAAAGCATCATGCTGACTTTGTTTTGTGTGCAATACTTTACAATCTGTGTTCCAAGGTGGATGACCTCAAGTCGAAGTTGGCTTCACAAGAAGTAGAGTTGGCCCAGAAAAATGAAGATGCAAACAAACTAATCCAGATTGTTGGTGCTGAGACAGAGAAAGTGACAAAGGAGAAAACTATTGCTGATGAAGAGGAGAAAAAGGTTTCTCAGATCACTATTGAAGTAGAGAAGAAACAGAGGGATTGTGAGTCTGATCTTGCCAAGGCTGAACCTGCCCTGTTGGCAGCCAAGGAGGCCCTCAACACCCTTAACAAGGTATCCTTGAACTGCTTCAAAATTGGTTTAAGAATATTTTCTGGAATAGCTTTTTAGCATTACATTGCAACCAGTGTTTCTTTTTGGTTTTAAAGCAGATGTTGGCCTGATTTGTTAATATTTTGTTTTGTAGGGTAACTTGACAGAATTGAAGTCCTTTGGAGCTCCACCAGGAGCTGTTGTAAACGTTACTGCCGCTGTTATGTGTCTCCTGGCACCGGGTGGTAAAGTGCCCAAAGACAAGAGTTGGAAGTCAGCTAAGAGTTCTATCATGGCAAAGGTAACTACATATGTAGTATTCTCCTATCACCTGAAATATTAACCAAACATAAGGGATATCCTAAATGTTGACATGTCCTCTATATTTAACATTGCAAAGGGTCAGAACATGGTCAAATGGTTGCCCAGTTTGTTTTGGGTAGGAAAAACTCTGAAATGTTTTAATAACATGTCTCTAAAGTGTTGTCAGAATGTACTTAGTGTTGCTGAAGTTGGGATCTTTGTAAGCCAAGGTCATATTTTTGGGGCTTGTGTTATACCATTGCTATCCAATCCCTCATCTATATTTATGATTACAGATTGACCAGTTCTTGGAGAACCTCATCAACTATGACAAAGATAACATTCCCGAACCATGCTTGAAGGCTGTACAACCATACCTTAGTGACCCAGAGTTTAACCCAGATTTCATTCGCAACAAATCCTTTGCTGCCTCTGGTCTCTGTTCATGGGCAATCAACATTGTCAGTTACTATGAAGTTTACTGTACTGTCGAACCAAAGAGAATGGCATTGAAACAAGCTAATGATGAACTGTCTGCTGCTCGTGAAAAACTCAAAGGCATCAAGGCCAAGGTAGCAGACTTGGAAGCCACACTTGCAAAATGTCAGGCTGAGTTTGAGAAAGCCACAAATGATAAATTACGTTGCCAACAAGAGGCTGAAACCACAGCAAAGACCATTGAACTTGCCAACAGATTGGTTGGTGGACTTGCATCAGAGAATGTCAGATGGGCAGATTCCATCAACAGTTTCAAGGAACAAGAGAAGAGCTTGCCTGGTGATGTGCTGTTGATTACAGCTTTCATTTCCTATGTAGGTTGCTTCACAAAGACCTACCGTCTGGAGCTTATGGACAGTTGTTGGTTGCCATTCTTGCAAAACCTGAAATATCCTATACCTACATCTGATGGCCTGGACCCACTGACTCTGCTTATTGATGATGCTGATGTTGCTGAGTGGAACAACCAAGGCCTCCCAGGAGACAGAATGTCCACAGAGAATGCCACAATCCTCACCAGATGTGAAAGATGGCCCCTCATGATAGATCCTCAGTTGCAAGGTATCAAGTGGATCAAGAGCAAGTATGGTGCAAACCTGAAGACAGTTCGTCTTGGAGCCAAAGGGTACCTTGATATCATAGAGAATGCTGTTCAGTCAGGTGATACTGTTCTCATTGAGAACATAGGAGAGAGCATGGACCCTGTGTTAGATGCTCTACTTGGAAGAAACACAATCAAGAAGGGCCGTGCTATAAAAATGGGTGACAAGGAGGTGGAATACCACAAAGACTTCCGTCTGATTCTTCAGACCAAGCTTGCAAATCCTCACTACAAACCTGAGATGCAGGCACAGACCACTCTCATCAACTTCACTGTCACCATTGATGGTCTGGAGGATCAGTTACTGGCTGATGTTGTCAGCAAAGAACGACCTGATCTGGAGAAAATGAAATCTGACCTCACAAGGCAGCAAAATGAATTCAAGATCACACTGAAAAAGCTAGAAGACAACCTTCTGGCTAGGCTATCTGCTGCTGAGGGGAACTTTTTAGGTGATTATGCACTTGTAGAGAACCTGGAGACCACCAAGAGAACTGCTGCTGAGATTGAGGTGAAGGCTGAGGAGGCTAAAGTGACTGAGGTTGAGATCAACACTGCCAGAGAGAACTACCGACTTGCTGCTGCCAGGGCATCACTTCTGTACTTCATCATGAATGAGCTGCACAAGATCAACCCCATGTATCAGTTCTCATTGAAGGTGAGTAGTAGATTAAGGCTGTATAAGGATGCAATATTCATTACTGACATTGAAACTGGAGTTTGTGTTAATGCAAATGATAATGTCTTTTTTTAGGCGTTTAGTGTCGTGTTTGACAAGGCTATCGACCGAGCAGAACCCGCCGAGGAGGTGAAGCAGAGAGTTATTAACCTGATTGACTGTATCAGCTACTCTGTCTGTGTCTACACCACCAGGGGTCTGTTTGAGAAGGATAAACTTATCTTCACAACACAAATGGCTTTCCAGGTAAAAACAAACACAAGATTATTCATATTCATATTGTTTAGATGTCTGCATGAGTAAATGTCTAGGTGGAGTCATTGATTGAACTGAATAAGTAAAACTTGTTGATAATACGTTTTTAGCAGTAAACTCTATGTTAAATTAGTTTGGAGCTAGGTTAACTTTATGGTCTCCTTGTTTTTAGATCTTGCTGAAGAGCAATGAGTTGAATCCAGTGGAGCTGGATTTCCTCTTGAGATTCCCTTCAGTGCCGAATCTTACTTCACCGGTTGACTTCATGAATAATAACTCATGGGGAGGCATCAAGGTATGTTGTTTTCCTGTCAAACACAGACTATTCCATACACATTTTGTTAAGAAATAATTGATTTAGGTTTATTCTTCTGAACACACACAACTGTTATAATTTGGGATGAGTAGCTTTCATTGTCCTTTATGTACATTATACTTTGATTTTACAAGCTGGGATTAGCTGCTACAGTTTCATTGAATGGGTATTTTCAGGCTCTAGCTAATATGGATGAATTCCGGAACCTGGACAGAGACATTGAAGGTTCAGCTAAACGATGGAAGAAGTTTGTAGAGAGTGAGTGTCCAGAGAAAGAAAAATTCCCCCAGGAGTGGAAGAACAAAACATCTCTCCAGAAGCTGTGTATGATGAGAGCTCTGCGACCCGACAGAATGTCCTATGCTGTCAGGTATGTAGTGGTGGAATTGTCATGCTAACACCTTTGTTTCAGTCTTCGCCCATGTAGTTATATAGAGAAGTAACTGTCAACCTCAGGCAGGGTATCCAAAGCATATCATGATAAGTGTGGCATCATGTGTATATCATCATGAAAGCTAACTGGAGTAAGGCAATAACAATCCTACGTATGATATTCATGATTTCGTATTTATCAGTCACTTCATCGAGGAGAAACTTGGATCCAAGTACACTGAAGGCCGTAGTGTGGAATTTGCGAAGTCATTTGAGGAATCAGGTCCTGGCACCCCAATCTTCTTCATCCTGTCACCTGGTGTTGATCCTCTCAAGGATGTGGAAGCTCTGGGTAAAAAGATGAGCTTCTCTGAGGATGACAAGAACTTCCATAACATCTCCCTGGGTCAAGGCCAGGAGATTGTTGCAGAGCAGGCTATGGATCTTGCAGCTAAGGAAGGTCACTGGGTTGTGTTGCAGGTAAAGTAATTTGCATTAATCTACAGGGTTCCAGATAAGGGCCGTATCTGGCGTATGTACGGATAAAACATGCATGATACAGTAGGAAATAATTTAGAAAACGTAGCAGATACGCACCACATCAATGGTGTATGGTCTTAGAATCATTTACAGACGTATTTATCTGAAAAAGTATTGTATTGTTGTTTATTGACCTGTTTACACAAGAGTAGCAATGTTGTGGTGCATATATGAAACAAAACACAAGATTACTGATACACCATTAAATTCCATTCAGTACTCTATATGTACTCTTTTTCCAGTACTCCTATGTTGAAAAAATAAGGAGTACGTATACCTGATGTTGAAAAATTATTTGGAGCCCTGAATCTATAAAGTAAGCTCATAAAAAAACATTGCCAAGCTTTATTATAGAGGTCAGTGATAACGTGTATTGTAATACAAGAGACTGATTTCATTTTGCAGAACGTCCATCTTGTGGCAAAATGGCTGCCTAGTCTGGAGAAGAAACTTGAGCAGTACACTGAGGAAAGTAACCCCAACTACAGAGTCTTCATCAGTGCAGAGCCATCCGGCACCCCAGAGTCACACATCATACCTCAGGGAATCCTGGAGACAGCTATCAAGATTACAAATGAGCCCCCTACTGGCATGTTTGCCAATCTGCACAAAGCTCTTGACAACTTTAACCAGGTGATTTTGGAGTCAATTTTGAATCTGAAAGTTTGTTATCCACAACAGGACTTTTGTTCTGTTTTACAGACCTACCGTACAATGTTTGATTCTTCTTCTTCTCTTTACAACTTTTTTGTTTTTGTTCTGTTGCCTGCTATCTCTGAGTGTTCAGTAAGTGGAACAAGAAAGTAATTGTATCTGACATTAATATAAGAAAACCAAATATTTTGAGTTACTAATCTTTGATTTAGGTTATGTAACATGCAACTTTTAAACAACTCTCAACCTATTTTCAGGATACCCTAGAGATGTGCGCCAGAGAGACCGAGTTTAAGAGTATACTCTTCTCTCTCTGCTACTTCCATGCAGTGGTGTGTGAGAGGAGGAAGTTCGGCCCCCAGGGATGGAACAGGGTGTACCCCTACAACACTGGTGATCTGACAATCAGTGTCAATGTGTTGTACAACTATCTTGAAGCTAATGCTAAAGTTCCATGGGAAGATCTGAGGTACCTGTTTGGAGAGATTATGTATGGCGGACACATCACAGATGACTGGGACAGACGCTTGTGCAAGACATACCTGGAGGTGTACATGCATGTAGAGATGGTAAGCACTGTCTTTAATTTGGATATACAAGTTGATGTCTGAAACTCTGATATTTCCTAATGTTATCAAACACAGAGGACTACTATGTATGGAAATGTGCACTTGTGTATTTAGTGAAGTGAAGCTGAAAATGGGTCAGTTCAGTGATAGTAATAATTATTGTCTGTATGACAACATTGCCAAGCCAGTAGATACTACAGTCTTGACATTTTTACCATTGAGAAATAGTTTACATTTTCTTAAGTATTCTTTCATGATCTACACTACAATTGTTCATTTTACTCACCTAGAAATTAACTCGTGTAATTTACAACAAAATGACTGACAGTCATGGTGGAAGTGAAATGTTATATGTAACTAAATATGTATGTTTCAGCTTGATGGAGAGTTGTTCCTGGCTCCAGGCTTCCCTGTGCCTTCCAACTCGGACTACAAGGGTTACCATAGCTACATTGATGAGGTCCTGCCACCAGAGAGTCCTTATCTGTATGGCCTCCATCCCAATGCTGAGATTGAATTCTTGACCACAATATCGGAGAATCTGTTCCGTACTGTGTTTGAGATGCAGCCTCGAGATGCTGGTGCAGGAGCAGGGGCTGGAGTCAGCAGGGAGGAGAAGGTCAGTACATGGGCACAAACCTACTGGGGTTACAGATATATATATTTATTCTATCCATTCTTAGTGTATAATGGTAGGGAGAAAAGTTCTAAATCAGGTTTTTATTGGCAATTACCTCAAGAAGTTGATGTTACTAACTTACTATGCATGTAATGTGTACATAAATACATGTATTAAGATCAGGTGGTTTCACACACTATAAATGGCTCAAGTGCTGGCAGCTGCAACAGCCTCCTGACTGATTCTGAAATACACTGACATTCAGTGACATTCCACACTACGACCTTCAGTGGATCCACACTGACTATAGTGGTTCCTTTCATGTTTAGCTAACCATACACTTTGATTCAAGTTTTGTGACACTTCCTTATTTACAGATGTCTGGACAAAAACCGAGTGTTGAGATGGCAATTAATTCGTTACTGGTATGGGGAAATACCCCTGGCATTGACAGGATGCACTTACTGTTTTCACCATATGCATCATTTGTACAAAAACACTTTACATGGCAGTCTGGGTACAACTTATACAACAGTTTTATGCTGACAATTGTGTTGTATAGATCAAATAGTATTGCATGTACAGTGACACAGATGCCATGGTTGGCACTCTGATGTAATCCTTTGATAATATTGTGTCATAGTTGTCCCATAGTCATTAAAGGTATGTGTGATTGCAAAGCAAAATGAAGAGTGTATGAACTTTTTAAAGATGTTTGAGACACTGCATTGAAATAAGGTTTTAACTTTAGTGGCTATAATCACACATACCTGAACATACCTGTCCACATCCGACAACGTTGATGCTGAATCATAAGCATTATAAATTTTTAATTCACAAGTGTGATATCCTCTTATTGATGTCAGGTGTGATTCATTTTGATGTTGGACACAGTATATCACAGTGCATGAGTATACATATGGTTCACAAGAAAATCGCTTTTTCAGTCATTGTTGACATCTATAGAACACCTCTTGCATTGTTGCATGTCACAGGGAAAATGGTAAATACCATCATTTTTGTTCAGGAAATGCTCATTGGAAAAAGTTTTAGTTTGTTGGATGATTCTGCCAGTTGAAATTCAGCAGTGTTGGAAGTTGTCTTCGGTAGTAGTAGGAATTGACAATTATTTCATATTTCATCATTCAATTATTTACATGTAATAACAAGGCAATTATAAAGATAAAAGAGTGTCTATCTTTAGTTGATAAATATGTAAAGTATGAAGTTGTGCAAACTTTGATAAATAATAAGGCATGAAAATGTGCCACAGGACTTGCTAAAGACCTCACAAGCTACATTCTTGTAATGTGGTTATACGTACGACAAGTTTCAAATGGCAGCATGATGATGGTCCTAATGTTCACTAGTTAATGTCAATAGTTCTGTTCTGAATTACATAACAAAATTTATGTACAATAACATCATAGCTTTGATACAAGTTACATAGAACACAGGAGTTGGGTTACCCATTTGTGTTTGGGTGTAGATAAGGATATGAAATTCTAATACACAACAGAGGAGTTGATTGTTGGTCTGGAGCTAGGGACATTTAGCTCACACTAGGTTGATGTTGTTCTGTCACATGCATGATTCATCTGTGGTGCAAACACATTTCTTATGAAATCTTTTTATTGGAAAAAACAGAACCTTAATGAAGTTTTTTATAAACGCTAATATTGTACTTCATTTAATGTATTTGATTCTATGAACTTCTTAACTAAGAACTGTTACAGAATAATTCTTAAGTAATATGTGGATTTTGAGATTCTGGGACAAATCAAATAAAGCCATTGTTTAACCTTCAGCAAATTGTTTCCCCTTTTTTGCTTAACTAAGTTTGCTTCAGATTAAGTTATTTACCTGTGAGATCCCATGATAATATATCATATGCTGTTTTTTTCAATGTTTAAGGTGAAGCAAATACTGGATGAAATCGTTGAGAAACTGCCTGACGAATTCAACATGGTGGAGATCATGGGCAAGGTACCACCAGAGGAACGAACACCCTATGTGGTGGTTGCCTTTCAGGAGTGTGAGAGGATGAACATGCTGTCAAATGAGATGAGGAGGTCACTGAAAGAACTCGACCTTGGTCTCAAGGTAAGCACTTCATCTTCACAGTGGAAATCTTGTCTTCACAATTCTTTTGGCATTATCTGTGTGACACTGATTTTGATGCATTCATATTGTGGAATTTCTAAATTATATCATTTTATTATCTTAAGGTAATATTTGATTGAAGAACCAGTACAATGTTAGCCATGGTTATGTTGCAGGGTGAGCTCACCATCACAGCTGACATGGAAGATTTAAGTAATGCCCTGTTCATGGACTTGGTGCCAGCCAACTGGACAAAACGTGCATACCCATCACTGTTCACCCTGGGTTTATGGTATGCTGACCTGCTGCAGAGGGTCAAGCAGCTGGAATCCTGGAGCTCAGACTTCCAGTTGCCTGCCTCTGTCTGGCTGGGTGGCTTCTTCAACCCACAGTCATTCCTAACTGCTATCATGCAGCAGATGGCTCGTAAGAACGAGTGGCCTCTTGACCGAATGTTCTTGCAATGTGATGTCACAAAGAAGGTCCGAGAGGATATGGCAGGGCCTCCAAGGGAAGGTGCTTATGTACATGGCTTCTTCATGGAGGGAGCGCGATGGGACACACAGACGGGTATGATATCAGAAGCTCGTCTCAAAGAACTGGCTCCAGCCATGCCAGTCATGTTCATCAAGGCCATTCCTGTAGACCGAGTAGACACAAGGAATGTCTATGAGTGTCCAGTCTACAAGACCAAATCACGTGGTCCAACATTCGTCTGGACTTTCAATCTCAAGACCAAGGAGAAGGCCAGTAAGTGGATCCTTGGAGGAGTGGCTCTTCTGCTTCAGACATAGAGAATAAATCGATTCTGAATCAGACTAGTTTTGTACCATAGAAGTGTGGCAAATAAGATATAGGCAATAACAAATTACCTGTGAAACACTGTTTTAAAATGCAAAGACATTGTTCCATAAGATCAAAACCAATTTCATCAGTAAAAATGTTTGCACCAAAATGCCAACATACTGTGGTTTTCTTCCAAACTATAACAGTATTTAGAAATGTGTTAATGATTTACGTTTGGAAGTATTAATCTGCTAGTCAAGATAGCTCATTTATCGTACAAGCTTTCATAGACAAGAATTATTCAACTATTGATTGTTTTAGCTAAAGGCAATATTCCCAGAACAGCTGTGTTTACTTCTTAAGGTTTGTTTCAAATTCTAAGCAGTTTGTATGTTTGTTGGCAGTGTTCTAGTTAATGAATTAATACAAATTACCAAGTCTCTTTTTGAACATGTCATAAAATTTAACTTGACTATTTGAAAACTATATTGTTATCTTTCTTTTTTCATGTCTATGATATCAGTATTAAGTATTGTTCTCTTACTGAATATTGATTTCAAAAGTAGTATCACTGAAACTATATGTCAATAAAATATTGAATGTTATTTTGGAAGATCAACATCCTGTCCATTCATCTCCTGTTGTACTTTTTGAACATGTCATAAAATTTAACTTGACCATTTGAAAACTATATTGTTATCTTTTTTCATGTCTATGATATCAGTATTAAGTATTGTTCTCTTACTGAATATTGATTTCAAAAGTAGTATCACTGAAACTATATGTCAATAAAATATTGAATGTTATTTTGGAAGATCAAAATCCGTCCATTCATCTCCTGTTGTACTTGTATTTATTGCTGCAGTTTGTGATGTTATTTTGATTCATTCCAACTGTTATTTTTTGGAAATGAATACCATTCAAACAATTGTTGCCATGTTACATTTACACTAATAAATTATTTATATAATACTTCCTTGTTATATTGGATTATTTTAAGTGGTCACGATAGTTCTCACTTCAGAGAATAGAGTGAGTGAGTTAAGTTTTACGCCGCTTTTAGCAATATTTCAGTAATATCCCAGCGGGGAGACACCAGAAATGTGCTTCACATATTATACTCATGTTAGGAATCGAAACCAGGTCTTTGGCGTGACAAATGAACGCTTTAACCACCAGGCGACGCCACCATCCCCTCAGAGGACAAAACCTACAACCATAGGTTTCTGCCATGATGGGGCAAATTTGTACCGGTAGCAGAATCATTTGTACTATTCTGCTGCATGAAACCACCACCAGACCAACAACTAACAAGAAGACAAAGTCATCAATATCCCCTGCAATGGCAAAATACTCTTCATGATTATGTCTCCAGTTATCATTATGTCAAATATTTAGGTGTGTATATAGAAAAGTGGAAGGAGAGCATTGAAAGGTTTTTAAAGTTCTGCTCCAGATAGGAGCACTATCACCCATTTCAGTCTATGTCAAACTTGTTGCCATGGAAATGCTAAAAATATTTTATTCAGAATTCCCAAACTACCAAAAGGCACCAGTACACCACCAGGTCTATCTATGTGCCAAGCTTGGTGAAGAAATAGTGAAAGGTTTTAGAGTTCTGCTCCGGAAAAGACAAATGTGCACGGACGCACGCACAGACGGAGTCCATTTTAATACCCCCATAAAAGCGGGTTGCGGGGGATAAAAACTGATGTACAACTTGTAACTGCAACATGTTATTATCTTTTGTCAGTTTGAGGTAGTTGAGACTTTTTGTGTAGAAACAGCTTATTCATAGGATATTCCTTCAGAGACAATATAAAATGAGCGTAATTAGCGATAGTGAATTTCCATAAATTGTAAACAACATAATCATAATAAAGATAATGTTTCTATTACCGTCAGTAGTATAAGGAATGGCGGTACGGGATCGCAAAGGTAAAAATAATGATAAAATAAGAAGGAATGAAGAGGTGCCCCAGGCATTTGAGTATATATAGGGACACTGTTTGTCTTCACCAAGACAGGTATACGGAAAACAAAAAATGGAATCCAGCGCAGAAAAACAACAACAGTTTGTCGACGGGGTTTGGACCACTCATGTTGTTTCTACACCTCCTCCTCCAAGGAAAACAACTGGCAAAGGTGCACTCCAATTAGAGATATATACACAGGTGTGTTTGTTTGGGGGGTTTTCTCGGTAGAAGCTATACCCGCTCGGTCTCTGGGAGCAGCAACTCGACTTCTCAATCGTCTTTCCTGTTCGATATGGGCAAGTGGCAGATTTTGCCAAGCCTGCACAGAAACGGTCCACCCACCAAATTGAAGGCGTTCCATTCTGCTGGTGTCTCGAACCTTTTCTCATATCTTGTAGCCGTAGACTGGAATCATTTCTCCAGTCGGCGAATCGAGTAGCAGCAACAGTCGGTTCCCTTCATTTTCGCTACGGCAAACTTTTTGCACTGTAGATTCCTTCCGGAACTTCTGCGGCTTTTCGGTGTTCTATCATGGAATAATAATTCATACAAAATTCATTATTAATTATAACCACTACAAGCAATATATTAGGATTCAGATATTAGGAAAATATAAATATAGAATATTAGTTTCATCATGTATCAGTAATAGCTTAGAGAAAGACTCCAGTCAAAAGTAGTAAAACTCATCTCACAGACATACTATTGAAAAGGTGTAAATTACGGCTGCACAATTTCACAGATGTTCAAGATAAAATCCTAGCCTAAGGTATCAAGGACTCAAGCTGTTAGACAAACCTTTCAGTAAGAAAAAGTTATGACTAGACGATTTAATGAACTGCTCTGATAAAGTAAACATGTCATCATCTATATTACAATAACATTAAGCAAACACCAATTTAGGGTCATTAAGACATGGCCCAGAGTAAACGCATCTATTGTAATCCAAGCACCTACAATTGACACATCAAATTAGGCTCGTTAAGATCTAGCCCAGGGTAAGCATCCAAGCATCCAGTAAAAGTGCCAGCGAGATTAGTGCCAGTTGAAATAGGATTAGCAGGATTAAGTACTCCCCCTGTGTGGTCATTGAAGTTGTTTTTGTAGGACACACCCCATCTTGTATATTCTGTATTTCATTGGTTAATGTAGGTTACACCCATTTCTGTATCAGTCAACGAATCATAATCTCTTCCTTGTTTCAATTTTAGATAAATAGTCAAACGCCATTTGTTCATCAGTAGGGTTTAGACTCCCAACACAGGTCAGCTCTAGCCCTCAGCCCAGAGGGTTGTACCGACTCTCTGTGGCCACCCCATGTTATTACATTCTTGTAAATAAAATTGTTATAAGCTGCCCGCGCCGTGATATTGTGATATTGCTCGGACTAAAAACTCAGTCTTTGCTGAGTTAATTCCCCCAAACAGACCAGCACGCCAGTTAGATAAGGGGTTTCACCGGAACCCTCACTTGGACCCAAAGACCCTTATCAAAATAGTTCGTTGCACGGAGGGGCTGCCACTTCCATATCCTTGGACTCGCCATAGTTGGGCAAGGGGGTATGCCGAATACTGCTCCGTCCCCGTGGCTCTGCTTTTCCCGATAGCTGCCGGAAGATACAAGAATCTTTCTCGCATGGACAATTGTCCGCCAATTTGTCGAGGAGGCGTTGGCATCTCAGGCACCACAGGCACCACAAGAGGCAGTTGTGATCGTACATGTTCTCTATATTCGAGAGACTGTAGGGGATCGCGATTTCTTCCGGAACCACGAGTGGGAGTCGCTCCTCCTAGGGTGTGTAGTCTATCGCTTTCTTTTTCCAGAGAACGCATTTCTTGCAGCCAACGCAGTGGTCGATGGCACCACACTTGCACGTAGAGTTGTCTGGTTCGAAGAGAGTGGGGAGTTCCGATATGGAGGCGAGGCAGTCGGTGCATCATTTGTGTCTGTCCTTGAGTTCCGTGCAGCAGTCGGCGGCGAGAACGATTCGGAGTTTGCCTGCCGCGGGTCGAAATTGGTTGGGTGGGTAGATGTTAGGGCTGCACGGTATTACCGGTAAACCGCAATACGAAATTGTAGCAATTACGTATCGCGATACGTTTATGACGTACCAGTATACCGCCAAAGATTTATTTGTTCAATTTTATCCCATTCAACACCACATATAAGACTTCCGCCCGTATACCCCCTAAATTTTAATGGTGAGGAAAAAGATATATATGTCTTTTTAGGTATATGGGTATGGGTGGTGATGTGGCGGAAGTCTTCTAAATGATTAGCAACGGTCCACTTAAAAATTGTCAAAGAGCAAAGTATGGACGTTTCGAGGAAATCATTAAAATTGAATAAACAAATGAATAAAATCAACAGTTTTCATAAAAGTTGTCAAACGTACAACTAAGTTACTATTTCCATCTTTTCGTGCGATCATGTTATGTAAGTCAAGTGACATCTCGGCTTTCGTCACCTCGATCTTCATGCTCGGACACGATGTTTAATGAGAAAACATTTGCATAAAGAATATTTGTCACAGGTCGCCACCTAGCACGATACGTCCAATAAGTTCCATAATTCACGTATATATGGCGATTTGTTGCTTAACACGTTCAGAATAGCATTATTGTACTAAAAAAATTTCGTTCATGAGGACGGTATCTATTGCTGTAATATGATTGGCTTACGGGCATGACTTTTACCAATCACGAACCTTATAGCAGACTGTGGCGAAAAAGCGTCCTTAGAAACCAATCTTTATCCAATAAAATCGCTTCTTACAACTGCGAAAATACTCCTGGCAAGGTTACTGTGATATTATTGATGATTAGAGCTTTGGAACAATACCCGCCATCAAATGAATCTTCTAGAATGTTGTTCATACGGAGCTTCGAAAATGGAGGCATTTCCCAGTGTTGTGTCATGTTACCGGGTGAAAAGCCACAGTTATCGGGAAATAGGCGACCATACATAGTATTTAATTAATCTGTATATAATATTTTTTTCTGATTACGTAAAAATGAAAATATAAAAGAAATAGGTAAGAGTATATTATGGCATCTTACAAATGGATTAAAATAGGGGGAGTTTACGTCTCCTTCGTGGTTTATATGGACATTTTAAGTGTATAAATTTGTATTACTATTAGAAATAAATTTATGTAAGTTGAAGTTGTATTATTTGAATAATATGATAAACATACCTTTGGTATTTATCAACAGTTAGATTAGACCTAAAAATCTTAAATAGTGTATGACATAGCAATAATGTTTTACGAGCTGATACTTTCCTTGATAAACGCAGGCTTCTATCTTTTTAAAAGGTTATGTTTCTCATGTTTCATTTTTTTTTCCATTATTGTATTCAGTCTAAAGAAAGTGTACTTTACCCGAGTGACTTTTGCCAATCGTGAGTGTCTTGTTAAATCATTTCTTTATGTGAATATGTACCAAACGTCATTCATGAAATAGGTAATGTTAATAATACTTTATTCAAAAACAAAGGTGCATAAATCATCGTTTTGATTAGAATGTGCACTTCAAGATCATGTCACATGATTGTGACTTCAATCAATTTTTTCTTGAATAATACAGATGAAATACTCTTTAAATTGTTCGAAAATCAACATTTTTTGTTGTTTAAAGAAGTTGAAGTATATAAAGAGTATGGGTGGGTCGATGGAGGACATGGTGTAAGCTAGTTTCAGTTGTATTTGTCATATATCATACATTTATCTGCGTTTACTTTCCTTTGGACATCAGTTACAATTAAAAGAAAGACTTGTTGAAAGTTTTTTCAAAGTAAGGCGTAGGGCTAGTAATTTTTGGAAAGGACTAGTGACATACAAAATCCACTAGCCCGGAGGGCCAGTTAAAAGTTTTAGTTAGTGTCGATCCCTACTGTTTTAAATAAAAATATAAACAGAAGAATGTTCTGGATTTTCCTTTTTTCACTTTGAAAGAAGTTATACAATACACAATGGTTACTCACATACACTGTGAT